GTTTACTTTGAAGTGGTATTTAAATTTTAATTTCAAAAAAAAAAAATACTTTAAAAATCAAAAATTATTAATTTAAAAAAAATTATTTAAAAAATGAATAAAATAATCTTTACAATTCCTTAAAGCAGAAAATAACTTGAAATTAAAAATACCTTTATGTAAAATATACTTTTCATAGTTGAAAAAACAAAAATTGAAGTGTAAAATAAATTAAAATCGAAAAAAAAATTGTATATGAAAAATATTTAAAAAATACTATATATACATACACATACTGAAAAAGTATTTAGAGATAAGAAAAATAAAGTGATATAAAGAAAAAAAAAATTATTTTTCTATGGAAAGTCAATTTCTGCTATTAAACTATTCAGAACTATTCTTTATATATTGAGAAAAAAAAAACTAATTAAGTGAACAACTTTCAAAAATTGTCAAAGTGAAGAATCAAAAAAAAAAAAAAAAAATTTTTTTTGAAAAAAAAAATTTTTTTTGAAAAAAAAAACAAAAAGTGATAAAATTCTTCGAATTGAATTGAAAATTTTGAGAAATAGAAGAAAGTCTGATGAAAAGGAATTGAAAAACATTTTTTCTTTTGGATTTTATTTTGTAAAAAAAAAAAAAAGAGGAATTGATAATTGACACGAGAGAGGGAGAACGTGCTTTTTAATATCTATTGAGATAGAGAATTTTCCACTAAATATTATGCAGAATTAAAAATTTCGCATTTTTAGAATTTAGATATAATATTCGAGTTTTTAATTTTTTTTTTGTTTAAAAAAAAAATCTAGTCGACTAGCTTTAAAAAGTTAAAAAAAAATATCTTTAATAATTCTTAAGGAAATAAATTAGATGAGAGAAAAATTAAGAGCAGTAGAAAAAAAAATTTTACTGTAGAACGAAGGAAGAATGAACAAATGGGAAAAATAAGAACTTTAAGTATATAGAGTGATTTAAAAAAAAGTATTTAAAAAAAAGAAAAAAGAAAAAAATAGAAGGGAAGATTAATTTATAGAGTGGAAATTAATATTTCCTGCAAGAAAAATTTTTTTCGAAAAAACAGGAGAAGAAAAAGAAAAAGAAAAAAAAAGAAGAAGAAAAAGATTGTGATAATATTCCAAAAGTGATTTAGAAAAAAAAGAAATTTTTTTTCTTTCAAAATTTTATTTCCAAAGAAAGGCAAATTTTTCATCGCCGTCCGCAATAAAAAAAATTTTTTTAATTGGAAAAACGATTTCTTTGTCTTTGTGAAAAATTTTTTTTCCGAATCTAATGAAATAGCTCGAGGCAAAAAAAAAAAAAATATTGACAAGCAAGAAATATTGAGAAAGAGATTTGAAGAAAAAAAAATTAAAAAGACAAAAAAAGAAATTTAATACTGAAAATTATTTAACATTTCATGATTTTAAAAGACAATACTTTTGAAGTGAGAAAAAAAATACTTTAAAGTGGAAAATGTATTCAAAAATTCTTTTTAAACTACTTTAAAGTAAAAAAAATACTTTCAAGTACATCGAAAGTACGTAAAAGAGTTTAAAATGAAAAGTACTGCAAAGTGAAAAATATACTTTCAAGTGTAAATTATTTTAAAGTGGAAAATACTTTGAAATGAAAAATACTTTTTGAGGTGGAAAATACTTTGAAGTGGTAAATTACTTTAAAATGTGAAATTAATTTGAAGTAAAAAAATACTTCGAAATGGAAAAATTACTTTGAAGTGGAAATTACTTTTTAATGTAAAATACTTCGAAATGGAAAAATTACTTTGAAGTGGAAAATACTTTAAAATGGAAAAATTACTTTGAAGTGGAAAGTACCTTAAAATGGAAAAATTACTTTGAAGTGGAAAATACTTTAAAATGGAAAAATTACTTTGAAGTGGAAAGTACCTTAAAATAGAAAAATTACTTTGAAGTGGAAAATACTTTAAAATGGAAAAATTACTTTGAAGTGGAAATTACTTTCAAATGTAAAATACTTTGAAGTGAAAATTTTTTCAAAGTGTACAAAATACTTTGAAGTGAAAATTCTTTCAAAGTGTAAAAAAATACTTTGAAGTGGAAATACTTTAAAGTGAAAATTACTTTGAAGTGAAAATTACTTTGAAGTGAAAATTACTTTGAAATGTAAAATACTTTAAAGTGAAAATTCTTTCAAAGTATAAAAAAATACTTTAAAGTGAAAATTACTTTGAAGTGGAAAATACTTTGAAATGAAAACTTTTTTAATTTTAAATGTACTTTGAAGTGAAAAATAATTTTAAGTGTAAATTCTCTCAAGTGGAAATAATCTAAAGTGGCAAAATACTTTGAAAAATACTTCCAAAAAATACTATTTTTTTTTTCGTTTGAAAAGGACTATAAAAATGGAGATAACCTAAAATTATAAAAAGAACTCAATAAAAAGAGAATACTTTAAGAAAGTATTTTCTCATTTTTTCCCCCCTTTGAAAGAAGAGTTGGTAAAAAAAAAATGTTTTTTCTCAATAAAAATTGTTAAAAAATTTTTTTATCGTGAATGATGGTAGAGTCAAAATGTTCATCGAATAGTTTTTTGGATTTGGTGAATCCAATAAGCAGCTATGAGAATTTAAAGACATTACACAAGAGGCATTGTAAAAAATATTTTTGCCGCTGTAAACGTCATACAATTAGTGTGATTTGCATTAATGAAACAAGAAAATTATATTGGTTCAATTGTAAAAGTGTTGAGGATAAAGTTAATAACGGTTTGGGCGAGGGTTATTATTTTAAATTATTACAAATAATAAATGGTGCATTAAATACATGGGCACAAAAATATATTGAGAGTTTTAGTTTTGCAAGAAAGGAAATCATGTTTAAAATAAATGGTAGTAGCAAGAAAAATATGAAACTACTCAAGGAGGGATTTTATTGTCATTATCATCCGCATATATCGACTGATTCCTGTAATGCAGATTTTTTTAAACGGGCAGTGAGTAAAAATTTTTTTCAAAAAAAAAAAATATTAATTTTGAAAATTTTTTCCATATTTAAAGAAAAAAAATTAGGAATTCTAATTTTAAAATATTGGGAAATTTCCTGTTTTTCCTAATTCCTTTTTTGGACTAAAAAACTAAATTTTTTTTTATTTTTTGGTCTATTTTCCCTGCTTCTTTTCCTTAAATAAAAAGAAAAACGGATTTTCCTCTTTTTTCCGGGATCACCAGATAAATCAAGTTTGAACGGAAGTTGGTTGTCAAAGTGGACAAAAAGAGATAATTTTTACCAGGTACTAGGATAATATACAAGGATTAAAGATGTCGAAATATTTCTGTGCCATTTTTAAAGATGTGAAGGAAAAATTCCACTATATCAAGGCCAGTATACTTTTGGCGAAGACTCGAATTTCCTCGATGTGACCCCCTTTTTCTTCTACAATCTATTTATTCACATTTTCTTCTTTATATATAAATATATATATATACATTTTAAATCGATAACAACTGCAGTAAAAAAAAGAAACAGTTGACAAACAAGAGAAATTTCATTTCCAAATAACAAAATATTTACCAATTCATTTCAAGAATTGTATATAGTTTAAAAAATTTTAATTAAAAAGCTAGTGATTGGTTTTCAAGTGATTCTTCTTTTTTTAAAATTTTAAAACAATATTATTGTAAAGGATTAAAATTAAATCAATTCTACAATAAGTATCACTATTCTAATATTGAAATATTTCTAACATTTACTAAAATGACTACAAATTTTAAATTATTGTTATATTCCGTTTTTATTTTAATTTTAGATTTAAAACTAAATTTCTTTTTTACTGCAGTGAAATTGTATATTAAAAACCAAGAATATTTCAATTAATGAAAATTATAGAATATTTTTTGTATTCGTAAAATTGTAATTCTTTAAACTCCCCCCCCCCTCACCCCTACACCAAAAGTACACTTTTAAAAATATTTAATATTTTTCATCCTGGCACAAATTGTAAAATTTAATTTGTCTCCAAAAAAATTTTTCATTGTTTTTGTAAAATATATTTTTCATAATTGTTGAACACATTTTTATATATGAAGTTTTAAAAAAAATCCTCTGTATTTAAAATTTTTTAGAAATATTTATTCCCTTTATTTCTTGGCACTTGATTAACGATATTGTATTTAAATAAATATTGATAATTATTTTTTAATTTGAATAAAAAACAACATTTGTCAAAATTCTAATGATTTCAAAGTTAATATAAAATTAGTAAAAATACTTTAAAATACTTTATTTTTAAAAATAATATAAAATAAGTGAATACTTTAAAGTAGCAAATAATTTAAAGTGGAAAATACAAGTTATTTTAATTGTGATTAAAAAATGTAATCACTTTTAAAGTTAATTTTATTTGTCTTTTGAGGTTTTCTAACAATTTTTTGTACTTTTTTTTTAAATAGAAATATAACTATTGCTCGATGAAATAAATTTTTAATATCCATCCTTCTTTTCGTGGTTTGAGATACTGAAAAAAAGAAAACAAAATAAGCATTTCGTTAAAATTAAAAAAAAAAATAAGGATTGTCCTTTATCCTTCATCCTTGACCGCAGCCTCAGGGCGTCGCGCGTTAAAAATTCTCTCAACAATTTTTCTCTGAACGAGACCTACTCCTGGTTAATTGAAGAGCTTGCCGCCAGAGGCAACTAAAGCTTTGGCAAAGTGGTGGGAGAGAAGGGGTGGCGGCAAATTAGCAAACGTTACTTGAAGTTTTTTTTTTTTTGAATAGAATTGTTCTCATAAATCTCCGTAGATGCAAGTTTTATTTAATTTGAACCGAGTCGCACTTTTCATTTCGTTAAAAAAAAAAAGAATGAAATTTCGCGACAATTTTTTTGTTTAAGAAGAAAAAAAATTAATTTTCATTTCATATTATACAGAAAAATTAAAAATTTTTTTCTTTTTGAAACTTTGAATTTTGACAATTGTTTATTAAATGTATTAACTGATTTTCTTTTTTATTTATTTTAATAAAAGTGAAATTTATTTTTCAGATGTCAGATGATGACAGAATGTCATTAACGACAGCTGTCAGCGATGAAGATGATGGTGAGAGTGTCATGAATTCCCCATATCGAGGAAAAACAATGGGAACAGCCGCTGATTCTTTCAATTGCACTGGCGCCGTTCGTAAAGCTGGGTACGAATTTAATTATTATTGAATAATAGTTTAATTTTTTTTTAATAATAATAATTATTTATTTAAGAAGTTTACGGGCTACAGACCCATAAAAATAATAATAGAAGAAAAAAAAATTATCATATAACTAATAATGTCGGTAAAGTAGAAGTAGATGGCACCACTAAAGTATTCTTTTTAGCTCAAAAAAACGAAAAATCTACTTTACCGACGGAGTATAGATGGGAAACTCACGTATAAATTTTTTTTTCACAAAAAATTTTTTGATTATAGATATTTGAGTGTGAAAAAATGGCTTTTGAGACGAAAACAACACATTGAATTAGCAAGAAGACGAGGTTGGAGAGGTTATTGGGTTTGTTTAAAGGGCACGACACTTCTTTTCTATCCATGTGAATCCCATGAAAGTAGAGCCGTTGAAACGGCACCTAAACATTTAATTATTGTCGATGGTGCCATTATGCAACCAATTCCTGAACATCCAGATAGAGATTATATCTTTTGTCTCAGTACAGCATTTGGCGACGCTTATCTTTTCCAGGTGAAATTTTGTTTTTAAATTTTAATTTAAAAAAAAAAATTATTTTTTAAATTTCACCCCAAAATTTAATTTCTTTCCGAGTTAATTTTATTTGTCTTTTGAGGTTTTCGAAAAATCCTTTTTTATTTTTTTTTTTTAATAGAAATATAACTATTATTTATAAAAAGTGGAAAAAAATTTAAGTAGAATTTTTTTTTTGATAAAACATAAAAATACTTTAAATGTGAAAAATTTTCATTTTGTGTAATAATTGTGTTCCAAGGCTCCTTGTCAAGTGGAACTTGAAAACTGGGTGAACAGCATCCATTCAGCTTGTGCCGCTGCCTTTGCTCGTCATCGTGGCAAGACAGGAACTTTGCACTTGCTTCAGGAAGAGATTTTCCGTTTGGAGAAGTCAATCGACTCGGTAAGTTTGCAATATTTTGTATTTTTTTTTTTTTACTATTTTATTATCGAAAAAAATATTTTATTATTATTATTATGGCTACGAAAAATCCTTTAATGGAGGGTGTGATTTTATGTAATATTTTTTTCTTGATTTAAAGAAAATAGGGTATTTTTAAATTTTTTTCAGGACTCAAAATTAAAGCACATGGCAGATTTACAGCAATCGGTTGTTTCGGATGTTGAAACGAAGCAACAAATTAATAATCAAATTGTTCAATGGGAGGAAAATTTGGAACGACTTCATTGTGAACAATTTCGTTTGCGATGCTATATGGCCAGTTTACAAAGTGGAGAATTGCCAAATCCAAAGGTAAGAAAAATTTTATTAGCAAATGTCAATTAAAATTTTGAAAAAAAAAATTATCTCTATTATCTGATGTAGTTTATAAAAAGGTAGAGAACTTTCTCGTAAGTGACATTCAAGAAAAAAGTTTTAATTTTTAAATTATTTTTCAATTAAATTAATTTTTTCTATTTTTTATTTAATTGCTTTATTATGTGCTAAAAGGTGGTATTTTTTAAATTGCGATTGAAGAAAGTAATTTCTTTCCGAGTTAATTTTATTTGTCTTTTGAGGTTTTCGAAAAATCTTTTTTTATTTTTTTTTTAAATAGAAATATAACTATTATTCGATGAAATAAACTCGATTGAGTCTATTAAAAGATATAAATCTTATTGCTTGCTTATGTCCTTTTTGAGAAAATTTTAAAATAAATTTTTTACTATTTTCTCTTGTGTATTAAAATTTTTATTATTTGTGTTTTTCCTAAGTAATAAATAAAAAAAAAATAAACAAAATCGTTTAACATAAAAAACAATATGTATTTGGAAAATATTAAATTATTTTTTCTCAACATTATACAACATAGAGAAAGGGATGAGAAATAATAAAATGTCCTCGCATCGACATTAAAAAATAAAAAAGGTCATTTTGTAACCTTAGAGCGGAAATAGTTGAAGGATAATATTGTATTAGAAAATATTTTTTTTTTAAATATAAATTATATATTTAATAATAATATGTAATATTTAAATTTACTATATTTAATAATAATAACAATGTGTTCCCAGAGCTTGCTCACTCATGTTTCAAGGGCGACAAAGCAGACCCTGTACAAACTTGGAGTCTTTACAATGTCGTCCTTTCATGCGTTTATTTGCGCAAGAAGTCCATCGTTACTCAATAATTTATTAACTGGACGGGGTGCAACAAAACGAAGACCACCAATTTTATCGCGAAGCAATAGCGCATCAAGTAGAAGATCTTTGCAAATTTCACGTGACGAAGAGAAAACTGTCAAAGTCATTATACCTGAGAATCAGGTAATTTACTATTTTTTTCTTGTTTTGATTTTTTTTTAATTTTATTTCTCGTTACTTTTTATTTTTTTTCAAATTCTAATTTTAATTTTTTTATTTTTAAATTACATTTAAAAAATTTTTTTTAAATCTATTTAAAATTTTTTTATTTTTAAATAACCTTTTTTTAATTTTTTAAAATCTATTAAAATTTTTTTATTTTTAAATTACTTTTTTTTTAATTTAAACAATTTTTTTTTGTTTTAAAATTACTTTTTTTAAAATTTTTTTTAAGATTAAAATTTTTATTTCTTCTATTTAACAAAATATTTTTTTATTTTTAATTAGATTTATTTAATTTAAAAAATTTTTAATTAAAAATAATGTTTATTTTTTAGTGATTATTTATTTTAATTATCATTTTTTTTTCTTTTTAATATTTATTTATTTTTTCCAATTTAGAAAATATATTTATTGTTTGTTAAATTTTTCTTTGCCGCAAATTATTTATAGTTTTTCTATAAAATTTAAAATTTTTGCTATTTTTTTTTTCTAAAGACTGTTTCAGTTTATTTACGTGACGCAATGACTGTGGAAGAATTTTTAGCCAGTGCATGCAGTAGAAAGGGATTAAATGCAATGGAGCATTTTGTCCGAGTAAAAAAGCGACGCGATATGGAGGATCACAATTATTTTGTCCCACACAGAACTGATCTGATTGAAACTTATGTAAGTGAAATATTTTTTTTTAATATTATTTTTTAAATATATTTTAAATAAATAAAAATAAAGGAATTATTAATAAATATATATTATTATTAATAATTCCTAAATAGATATTTAGTTTCTACTTTATTTTCATTTTATAAATTAACATTTAAAAAAAAATTGTATTTTAAAATAGTATTTTATTTTTAATCTATATATTTTTTAACCTTTCGTCTTTAAAAAATAGTAAAAAATATTTGAAAAAATTTTTTTTTTTAAATTTATTATTCCTAATTTTGAGAATTGAAAAAAGAAAAAATAAATTTTGTTCAGCTTCACACGCACGAAATTGTAGAAGTTTGTGCAAAAATTCTCTATCAAGTTGAACTTCAGAGGAATACATTGGATCAAATGTGGGGATTCTCTGTGGAGGCTGAGCTTATAGAAAATTCTGATCGTCAAGACGAGCTTTGCTGTTACGTCAGTCGTGTCGAGGATAAAAGTGTCGCTATGCATAACGGTGAGTTTTTTTTCATATTTAAAAAAATCTCTTTAAAATTCGCAAATAAATAATTATTTCAAGAAAAGAAAATTAAATAACTTTTTTTATTTAAAAAAAAAATTAAATTATTTTTTAACAAATTAAATTTATTTAAAAATTACCATTTTATGGTGAAGAATTTTTTTTTATAATTTTTTAATTTATTATTAAGATTACACATTATTTATTGTGCGCAACTCGATTTTGTTTCTCTATAAAAGATTTAAAGGCCATTATAATTCCTATGATTAAAAGGCCATATATTATCTTGTGTATAGTAAGTATTGATTTTAGAAATAATAATGGGTACCCCGCAGAAAGCAAAAAAAAAAAAAAAAAAAAAATAGAATGTGAATATAATTTAAAGTTATTTTTCAATAATACAATTTAAATAACATGAAAATAGCATTGATAGAAAAAAATTGTTTTCTTATCCGTAAATAGAAATATTGTACGATTAAATCGAGGACTTATTGGAACGATTGATTTTTTTTTATCTAAATTCACTCACCAGTGACTTGTCAAAGTCACGCAAGGTTCGCTTCAATGATCTTGATTGAAAGCAACGCAAGCGGATATTTTATAATTTCGATATAATTTATTCGATATATTAACTATTATATAGGGTTTAAACTTTATTATATTTTATTTCCCCCGCATTTAGAAAATTGTTTTCTTCGTATGAAAACAGAAAAAAAAAATTTCCCTTTCGAGAGAAATTAAAAATTAATCTTAACACAATTTTTGTTTTTTAATGAAGTTGAATATTTTACGTTTTTTTTTAGAAAAATCTTATTTAGAAATGAAAATTAAAAAAAAAAAAATTTCTATAAAAATATTTGGCATGATTCAAAAATTTATACGTCAAAAGTATAAAAATTCAGAAATCCAAATAAGTTAAATTGAGTGACAGTGAATGGTATAAAATATACAAATGACTTATTTAAAATGACAGTAAAATGATAAAATATTCAAAACGTGAATATTTTGCTAAATTTTTCTCGAATTTTAAAATAACTAGTGTAAATTATGAAATGAAAATAAAAAGGGAATTTAAATAGCTTTAAAATACTGAATGAAAATAATTTTCCAAATCTCAAATCGTTGGGAAAGATGAGTTAATTAATTTTTATTTATTTAAAAGAATTTAATTTATTCAGATTTCAAAGATCTAAAAATAATTAATTGAACAAATTTAGATAATACTTTTGTGAATTACTAGATTTTAATTGAAAAATTTTTAATTTACTAAGGATGAAATGAACTCTTATATTTATCAAAATTAATAATCATTTTTGAAAAATGTAATAATTAATTTATAATTCTTGAAACAATTTAATTTTAGTTAATAAATTTTTAATTAAGAGATAAACAAATTGATACCACTTTTAAAGGAGCTTCACTAAACTAATTAAATTGAATAATCTCTAATTGATGGAACTTAATTATGAGAATGCATTCCATATTAATTGTGATTAAAGAATGTAATTACATTCGAGTTAATTTTATTTGTCTTTTGAGGTTTTCGAAAAATCTTTTTTTTATTTTTTTTTAAATAGAAATATAACTATTATTCGATGAAATCCTTTCTACTTGCATGCTCTGTAATTGAGAAATTGAATATAGTATGTTTCAGCTATAAGGGATGAGAAATATTATTATTAAAAAATATTTATAATTATCAGAAAAATTAGTAAAAAAAATTAATTTCGTAATAATTAGTGAATTAAATGTTTATATAAAATTAAAATCGATTTAATTATTTTGTGACAGGAATTATAAAAGGTGATGAAATAATGGTAATTAATGGGGCAATTGTCAGCGATTTGGATATGATGTATTTGGAGAGTGTTTTACAAGAGGAATTGGCCCTGTGTATGATGATGCGTTCATCGAGAACGGAACCTCCTGATCTCACGGGAATGATGAGGGTCACTGACGATATTGAAAGTCTCGTGTGTCCTCCACCACCCACTGATCCTCCGGTCATCAGCGATGAAATGATTTCCGGTCTGATTGTTCCGGCTCCCGGATGGAGTAAGTTCTCATATCGTCATCGTTATTTTTTTTTTTTATTTATTCTCCATTTATTTTCTCTTTTAATATTATATATTATTAACTATATATTTATAGAAAAATGTCCTAGAATCCAAAGTCGTCACTATATTTATAATTTTAATTCTGTTTTAAATAGAAATTTTAAAAAAAAATTAATTTAAAAATAAAGGAAATTTAATTTAATTTTGATGATAAATAATCTAAATTTAAATAAAAAAAATTATTTAAATTTAAGAAAATTTTGATATTTTTAATTTTTTTTTCATTCGGGGCATTGAATTTGTGGTTTTTTGCGATTTCTTTTCATAAGTATATTTTTCGTCAATGAATTTAAATAGCATTTTTGTAACAAAAAAAAATTCACGGAGAATTTATAATGAACGATATATCGTTGGTGAAACGTTAATGAGCACGACTTATAAACTAGGACGAACTGCAAAAGAATTTTTTTTCCCTTCCCTTTTTTTTGTAATCTAAAATGAAAACACGAGTATTTATATGGAAATGTCAAAAGAATTCTACTGTTCAGTGACATGACTTTTATTCAAACAAAAAAAAAACTTTTTCTAAAAAAAAATAATCTTTTTGAAAATATAACGAAAAAGTTTTTTTTTTTTAAATGTTCATTTATTCCTAAAGAAATATATATGAAAAAATTGTTTGAAAGAAAACAATTTTTTGTTAAAAAAAATTGAAGGAAAAAATTATTTTTTTTTGGGTGGTATTTTAGGTAAGGAAAATATTGTTCAAGAATGTACGAGTACAACTCCCGGTGGCACAAGAAAACCAACATCGAGAACAAATTCATTTGAAATTGAAAATTTATTGAAAACAGCGGAACAAGTTACGGGCATTTGTCGATCACCAGGTGAAACACGAAAATCAAGTCCAACCGGAAGTGTCGTTAGTTCACATTCTCAAGCAATGACGCCAAGTCGACAATTGAGTGACGCTGAGAAATTGAAAAAAGTCATTCTCGAATTAGTTGAGACTGAAAGGACATACGTAAAGGTGAAGAAAAATTTTTGAATTTCCCTTCTACTAATTTTATTTTTTATTCTCGATATTTTATGATAAACATTTTGAAAACGAAAATTAACATTTTATTTTAGAATTTAAATAATTTACTGGAAAACTATTTGGAGCCATTGAAGAGGGAAACATTTTTGTCAAGTGCCGAGATAAATGCACTTTTTGGCAATATTCAAGAAATTGTCACATTCCAAAGGCAATTTTTACAAAATCTTGATCATGCGATTGAAATCGAGGCGGACTTTAACAACTTTGAGCATCCGAGTCAATTTAAGGTAAATGACTGATTAATTATTTAATCGATTAATTATTTCATTCATTCAGTATTTAATTTAAAAAAATAAAATAATTAAATTTTAGGGTGTACTGTTTTCCATTGGAAGTGCCTTCTTATTTTATGTAAATCACTTCAAGCTTTACAGCTCGTTTTGCGCGAGTCACTCGAAGGCTCAAAAAGTTTTACATCCCAGTGAGTATAGGGAATTTTATTTTTTTTTCTAAATATTTAAATTTTATTTAAAAGGAAATAGTAAAAATATTGTTTTTACTTCCCGTTTCCGTTCAGTAATATATTTTTTCCCCTAAACTAAAATTTATACTGCAAATTTTTTTTTTTTTTTTGAATTATTGAAAATGTATTTTTTTTGTCGAATAGAAATTAATTTGTTTTCGTAAAAAAAAATTATTGAAAATTTTCAACAGACGAAGGAAATCAAGCTCTCCAAGAGTTTCTACAAGCTCGAAATCCAAGACAACAACATTCCTCGACTTTAGAATCGTATTTAATTAAACCGATTCAGAGAATTTTGAAATATCCCCTACTTTTGCAGCAATTAAGGAATTTAACGGATGAACGCAGCGATGAACACAGACACTTGATTGGTGAATTTTTTTTAAAATTCTTATTTTTTTTATTTTATCTTTGAAAATTACAGTGAAAAACAAAATTTTGATTTTAAAAAATCCCTTCGATTATCGAATCGAAAATAATTTTAAATAAATTTTAACAGATGCTCTAAAGGGAATGGAAAAAGTTGCCGAACACATCAACGAAATGCAAAGAATTCACGAAGAATATGGAGCAATTTTCGATCATCTCTTTAGACAACATCAAAAATCTTGCAAGCAGGTAAAAAATAATTTTTTTTTAAATTTTAATTTTAATCTTAGAAACAGTTTTGAAGGTAAATTTCTTTCTCCCCAGCCAATCGACTTGAGTCCAGGAGATTTACTCTATTATGGAGGTGTCGAGTGGTTAAATATATCTGATTTCCTTGGAAAAATCAAAAAAGGCCTCGAACTTCATGCAATGTGTTTTGTTTTTAAATCAGCAGTGGTTTTCCTCTGCAAGGAAAGACTGAGGCAAAAGAAAAAGTTAATGGTAAGTAGTAAATTAATTTTCTTATTTTTAAAAAATAAAAATTTAATTTCGAACTAAAAATTTTATTGAAAACAGAATTTAGAGGATATTTTATCTAAAAACCGATCTTTTTTAAAATTGTCTTTTGAGGTTTTCGAAAATTATTTTTAAATAAAAAAAATTACTTAACAAAAAATTTAACAAATTCCAAAAAGAAAAACGACGATAAATTTTTTTGAATGAAACAATTTTTCAGGGTGTTTCGACGAAAGCAAATGCAAGCGAAGTGGAAATAATTCGCTATCAAGTTTTAATTCCGGTAACGGAAGTTCAAGTTCGAGCAAGTTCCGCCAAGGACATGGAGTCACACTTCCTATGGGAATTGATTCATCTCAGGAGTCAATTGCAAAGGCGCTCGGAAAAAGTTTACGTTCTGTCTAATAGGTATTTGTCTATTTTCTTCTTCTTTAGAAAATAGTTTCTCTGGTAACCAAAATTATTTTTTTTTTCCCCCTCTTTTAGTACAACGGAATTTAGAAACGCGTTTTTAAAGACAATTCGACAGATAATAAGGGAATCGGTGAGAAATATGAGTATACCATCAACGAAGCCACACTTGACACAACCGCCAATGACAATTGGACCGCGTATGTCAACTGGTCATGTGGAGAAATTTGACAAGAATCAAATAACAGGTCAAAATGGTAGCATAATTGCCATTACGACAGGAACATTATCAAAGAAAAAAATGTTGGCAAATTCACATCATGCCAAACGAAAATACAGTCAATCGAGGGCAGTTGATCGTGAAAGTGTCGAGGACAACAACGCCGAGGAAAATGCAAATTCAGCTCAACAACAGACATTTCGTTCGCGGAGCAAAACAATCAGCGACACTTCCGGTCAGCTGAAATTTTTTTAAAAAAATAATTTTTTTATTTTAATGTAAAATACCATAATTTTTAATTGGGAAAAATATATCTGAAGAAAAAGAAATTTTCAGGTGAAGTGAAAGTTGAAATGGACTCGGGGACTAAATCCGAGGGTGAAGAGGACTCACAGGCTTATGCGGCTGAGAAAAAGGCAAATTTGGGACGTACGCCTAATCATTTAACTCTGAGTACTACCTCAACTATTTCTGCTGGAAGTACCGGAAGTCAAGCGCGACTGATTCAGTCGTCCCATCAGCCGGAGAATTATCAACCGGCAACTGTCAAGGAACTCGGTTAGGAATATTAATTTTTTTTTTTTTTTTTTTAGATAAAATTTGTCTTTTAAGGTTTAAAAACATTCTTTGCATTCACTGCATTCACATTTCCACAGGTTCACCAATTTGGAAGCCACGAGAATTGCCATCGCTTGGCGAAGCAATGACTTTGCCGCGAAAGGGAAAATCGAGTAGCGAATTTGCTGACATGAGTTCGACGCACAGCGCCTCTAGAAAGTCACTCGTAGAAATCAACAATTGTGCTCAACAATCCAACTTTAATAATCACGTCTAAGTTAAATAATCGATTTCTTAAATTACTTATATTATTAAACAAAGCAAAGAAAAAAAAAACCAATTACTATATAATTATATAATCAAGAGAAACCTCGATCTGCTCACATGCAGGGATTATCAACGTAAATCCTAAAATTTAAAGAAGAAAAAAAAACTGTAAAGAAATTTAAAAAAAAAAGGAACAGAAAAGTGAATGTGCGTTGGCTGTTCGAGCTAAATGAATTTTTTCTCATTTCGCCCATGGAAAACTCGATTTTGAAAATTCGAAAATTCTCTGGTGAGTTTTTTTAACTTTAAAAATTATTTTTTTCTCCTAATACGAATTTTCTTTGTCTCTTTGCTTTTTATTTTTCATTTTTACTAACATACAAAAATGGAAAATAATTAACAAAAGGGAAATAGAAAAATTTGGTCATTGAAAAGAATAATGAAAATAAGAAAATTGGAAAAAAATTGTTTTTCAAATGGTAAAAATTTTTGGGGCGCTTGAAAGATTTTTTTTTTAAATTCTAAGGGAAATTTCGCCAACGCGGTTTAAGAAAAAAATAGAAAACAAATAATCGAGCTTTCTTTGCAATTTTTTACAAATTATTATTATTAAGTTTCCCTTTTTTTCTCATCTTCAAATAAAGAAAATCTCTTAAATTCTTCAAAAATGAAGAGAGAGAGAGAAAGTAAGAGAAATCTCAAAAAATGACACAACATTCAGTGTTTGAGATTTTTTTTAAACTTGTAATTTTTAGAAATTTCTTAATATATTATTTTTATTGAACATTTGCTCTCAAATTTTTAAAGATTTCTCACTTTTCTCGATACAATCTAGTTTCTCCTTCACGTATTCAAAAGAGAGAGAGAAAGAGAGAGAGAGAGGTGTAGTTAGGTAGATAGTTTAATTAGAACGAGAGAAATGATAAGGAAACAAAAATTAAGAAGAGTAAAACAGAAATAGGAGAGAGAATGAGAGAATGAATGAAAAAATGGAAAAAATGAAAGAGAGAGAGAAAGAAAAAAAAATTGCTATCATATTCTATTGATCTGTTTAAAAATAATAAAATTCGTGTTTCCATCTACATATAAAAAAATTAATATTCTTCAGGATTTGAACACATAATCATCTTTAAAAAAAAAAATTGAAATTTAAATTCCTTTAGCGCGAAGAGCAACGGAAAATAATCAAGTTTGTATATAATGTAATTGTTATCCTTTGAGGAATTTTTGGCAAAAGATTTTTTTTTTAAGTGATGAATAATTTCAATTTTTCTAATTTACATTTTTACACTTTAAGCTAAACATAGAAACTAAAAAAAAATTTAAATAATTTTTATTTTATTTACTACTTTTTGTAACAAAATAAGCTCAAAAAAATTAAATTTTTTTATTTAGCGAGTATAATTTGCTTTATTTTCTTTCTATTTTCTAAATTTAATTTTTTATTTAAATATTGTTGAGATAAAAATTCGAAAAAATAATCTTTTGTCACTCTTTCCTCATTTTATTGAAAACTTCAACTTTTCCATTTTTGACAAATTAATCGAAACTGGAAGATTTGATAAAGTAAAAATTAATAAAAATCCGTTGATAAATTTTTTTTCCACCCAATTTTTGAATACTTTTTTTCTAAATTATTTTTCGGCAATATTTTTTTGGGATTACATTTCTAAAATTTCAATGTAACCATTTACAAAATTAAAAAATTTTACTAACATAATTTTTTTTAACACTCGCAAAATTTTAAAGTTTAATTTTAAAATTTCAAAAAAAGTAAGTGTAAAGAAAAAAAAATTTACATTATAAAATTGAAAAATTCGGTGAAAAAAAAAATTAGATTCGGTATTTTATTATATTATCATCATAATAATAATATATATATATAAACGTTTTGTGAATGAAGAGAAGTGAAAATAAAGTGTTGGAGAATGTGAAAAAGAGTAGAATATATATTGTAATAAGTTAGTTATTAAAAAATCAATTATTGCGTGTCGTAAATAAAATTCGCCGTGGCTTATGTAAAAATAAAATTTAAAAAAAAAGTCCTGCGAAAAAAAAAATTTTGATAATCAATTTAAAAAATTAGAATTTATCAATTTCGAGCTTTTTTCGTCATGCGTCAAAATAACAAATTTTTTATTTTTAAAATTGCTTCAAAACTAATTATATAACGAAAATGCTCGAAATTTTCTTTTTAAATTTTTCTAAATACAATAATAATGAAATGATTTTCTATTGAAATTGATTAATTTTTTTTTCCACATGGACTTTAAAACATTGAACTTTTAAAATAAATCTTTTAACAAAACTCGATTTTCAGATAGACGACGATTGAATTTATTCATCTAAATTATTTTTTTTATAGAAAAAAAGTTGTTACTTATTTCCTAAGTTTTATTAAAATAATTGTTTTGTAAATTATTTATTATATTTATTTAGTTATTATTTGTTATTAATTATTTGTTATTAATATGTTATTAATTATTTGTTATTAATTATTTGTTATTAATTTGTTATTAATTATTTGTTATTAATTAAATTATTAAATTATTTATTTACACGTTTATTATAATAGTTAAATGAATAATAATTTTTTACATCTTTTATACATGTTTAATTTTTTTTAAAAAAAGTGAATTAAATTTTATTTGAAGAAAATATTTTGTTTTCAACGCTGTAAATTAAGGCTTCGAGTTATATACATTATAATATACATATGTAAAAAAAAAACAATTATTAGAGATAAATAAAAAAAATTGTCGTCTATAATTTAATGAAAATCGATATTTGAAAAAAGAAACAAAAATTTGTGCAAATTAGGGAGAAAGTAAAGGAAATATTATAGAGAAGACGAATAATTACGACCGAAATACATGATATAAAGATAATATAAATAAATAAAAAATATATATATATATTATAAATAAAGTAATGAAAAAAAATATATATATACGTACTCAAAGTAACGATGTTATAATTAGAATTTTACGCACGACTGCATTAAAAAAAAAAAAAAAATTCACATTGAAAATCGATTTTATCGGTAGATCTTAAAAATAAAGTTAAATCACTCAAAATGTTTCAAAAAATTTTTAATTTTCTTTTCAACTATCGTTTTGGATTTTTTTTTAAAAATAAGTTCAAGAAACGTTGCGAGTGATTATTCAAGTTATCTCAAAAATTCTGCTTTTGATAAAAATCGAAGAATTTTTTTTTTTTATTATTTATTTATCGAGCGATAAATATTCTTTACTCAAATAATATTTTAATAATTATTCTAGTCGTTTTGTACCCGAAACAATTTTTTAATTGTTAATTAGTAATTATAATTTTAAAAAAATATTGTTAAGTTTTGTAAAATAATTTGTTTTGTTTTTATTTGTTGATTTTTCTCATTTGTAGAATTTTTCTCGAGATAATAAATCGAGATAAGCTATATTATATTAGATATGCAAAATTTGCAAAAAAAAAAAACTTGGACGTGCAAAAAGAATTTTAAAAAAAAGATTGACAAAAAAAAGAATGAAACGAAGTAAATATATATTTAAGACCTGACAGCGAATCGAAAACACACCAAGATCCAAGAAATATTAATTAATAAATATATATTAAAAAAAAAAAAAATATTCCTTAACAAGAGCGAACTGCGAGAAATGAAATCATTAACTGAGGAACTTCCGTTGCTCCAGTCATTGCATTTATCTAACTGTATAAATTTTATATGCAGAAATTCTGACGAGATTCCACTCTCGTGCACAGTTTTTGTTTTTTTAAAATAAAAAATTGTTTTTTTTTACTTAAAAAAAATTTTTAATCTCAAAATTTCTTTTAATTGGAAATTTCTTTAAGTCTAAATTCTTTAAAATTACTTCTTTTTTCAACATTTGAGAACTAAAAAAATAAAAAAAATCCAAATTGTAGACGTTTTTTCAAAATTTTTAATTTAAAATTTTTCGAATTTGGTTCCATTAAGACTTTTCAAAACGAAATATTTAAAAAATAGAATTAAAAATTTTTTAATTAAAAATGGAATTTAAAATTTTTTTGGCTGTTTTAAATTGAAAAAAAAAATTACAAAACTGTGCACGTCGGCAGATTCCATTAGTTGGCCTAGTATCGAGTTTTCAATGTTTTCCCGAAAGAGTTACAAATAACAATTTATTGAATACATTATACTATATTGAGCGTCGATCATTGACATTCTTCTAGAAATTTTATTGACGATATATAAAAGAAAATAATAAAAAAAAAATAAATAAAAAATAAAACACTTTATCGCTACCGTTGAAATGTATATTTGCATATGTACATGATCGAAAGGTACTTTCAAGAAAAATGGTATGTGAAAATATTGAGAAAAAAAAAATAATAAAACTGGTTGTCCAAAAAAATTTTATTTTCTAATTTTAAAACAATTTTATTTTTAAATTCTAACAGTTAGATTTAAAATTGTCAGTTATTAATTACCAATTTAAAAAATTTTTTTTCATAATTAAAAAATCATTCGTCTTTTTTGTAAATTTGAATTTTTCGAAATAAATTAATATAGTTTTAAATAATAAACAGATATTACTTTGGAAGAAATTACAAATTTTTTTTTGGACAACTTTAGGAATGAAAGTTGAATATAAATGTGTGAAATGAATGTTTAAAAAAACAAAACATTGGAAAAAAATTAACAAAAATCGATTTGCGAAAAAAAAATGTGTATGAACGAATTATAAAGATTGAAACTGCGAGATAAAAGTGAAAGAGGGAAAGAATTTTTAAAAGAAGAAATAAAAAAAAAAAATATTCTCTCCACCTCGATATTATAATATATGAGAAGAATTATTAATTGTAATCGCGTTAAGTGAAAATCGCGTTTAAAATGAAGAATAAGTTAGCTAGTCCTATGATATAGCTACACATATACAATACACGTAAAATAAATATTAAAAAAAAAGAAAAGTAAAAAAAAATCATGATGACACAATGTGTGTGCTTTCTCAGTTTTAAAAACAAAAAATAATATCAGTCTATATAAAAAAAAAATACCCGTCTCGCAAATTTTTCAGTTATATATTTATATTACAGAAAAAAAATTTTAAAAGCGTATTAAAAAAAATGAAAAACAATTGCAAAGCTATACGAATGTATAATTATATTGATTGTAACGACGATTAATTATTAAGCTGTATACTTATTGTTATATTGTTCCTCGGTTAAAGCGGAGACGTTTGAGTATATATGTGGGAGGTGATCTATTTGTACAATCATTGCGACATTAAAATATGATTATTCATTATTGAAATTCGTTTTTTAATGTAGTTTTAATAATTATCAAGTGGTCCTTATATGAATTTACAGGAAGGATCGATTTTTATTTATATTTGCAAATTTATTTTCTTTTTACTTTTCATATAGAGGTTTAAAGAAAATTAATTCTCAATTTTTTTTGTTAATTCTATAAAGATTTTTTTTAGATTAAAGTAATTAATTGTTTCCAGGTGTGATTGATAACACACACGTGTATTGGAATCTGAAACTTTTTCTGAGTAATCCAAATATATCGATTATATTTTTTCGACCTATGACAAATATATATGAGAATTTCTCTTTTTAATCTTTATTTCAACATTGTAGCATTAATCAATAATATCAAGTGGCACAATCAGTTGTATTTTTTTTTTTTTTTATTAATTTACGCCAAAGATAGAAATTTTTAATTTTTAACTCCAAAGTGGAACAAAAAATAGAATTCAAAATTAAAAATCTAAAATTTTTAATTAAAAAATAGATTACGTTCTATTTCTTAGATGTTATTGTCTTTGGAAATAATATACACATAATATATCTCTTAATAATACAACTTGAGATTAAAGATTAATATCATATCAGAAGTGATTACTGCAGTCCATTCAGATTCCCGCACCTGGTTTTGATAAATAAAAAAGACTCTTTTTGATAAGAATTATTGATGAAAATTTTTTTTTCAGTCTACTTTTAAGTAACGTAATCGATTCTTTATATATTTTTTTGAAAAAAAAAACTTTAACTGTTTATAGTGGATTAAAATATTAAAAATTTTAATTTACGAAAATAATTAAAATTTTAAAAGTTAATTTTTTAATTTAATGCTTGATATATAATTTATCACAATTTTTTTTTATTAAAAAAAGAAAATTTCAGAAATAATAATTACGATTAAATAATATTAATATTTTTTTAAAAATTGAAAAATTAATTAAAAACATGAAAGAAATTAACTTCTTTCATAATCGGTAAATTTATTTAATATTCTTATTAATCAAAAAAGTGTATATTCATCAGAGTTAATGAAAATTACGTAAAAAAAAATTTCCAAAATGAATTGGATTTTTATAAATTTTGTGTTAAGTGTTACTTTCGTGCCAATTTTCACGGAAGAATATCATTGCGTTTGGGGTGGAGTTTGTACCAGTGTTATGGGAAATTCACCTTGCGCAAAAAATGGATCCGCCGTTTCACTTGAGGGATATAAAAGCGATACAAAAGCAAAACTTAAAAAAAGATGTCCACATTTTTTTGAAAATGGCGATGGTATGTAAATATTAACTATTAAAAAATTTTACATTCATTTGAGTAAAAATAATTAATTTTATGATATATAAATTTGCTAATTTTACGTAATTATTTTTTTAACAGAAAATATAAATGTTTGTTGTGATGAAAAACAAATTGATGTGCTTGATTCTGAATTGCAAAGAGCCGAAGGTATATTTGGTAGATGCACAACGTGTGTGAGAAATTTATTTAAATATTTTTGTGAATTTACATGCGCGAAAGATCAGAGTCGATTTATGAAAGTCACGGAATTTATTCCTGATAGCAATTCTGTCACAGAGACTGATGTAATTATTTTTTTTATTTTATATTACAATACCAGCTTCGTAAAAAAAAATTATTTTTCGCGGTAAAATATTAGAGCATTATTCATGCGCTGAACATGAATCTGATATATGTTTAATCGTATTTATCCGCGCGTATTTGATTTTAATAAATACTATAGAAATGCAAAATTAGAATTATATTTATATGGGGTATTTGCAAATAATTGTCATTTTTTAAAGCAAGATTTTGTCCCGTTAAAAAGTTTTTGGAATTTTTTTTTTTTATTAAAGTTTATATCAATATTTTTTAAATAATTCCTAATCGTTTTAATTATTTATGTTTCATATTGTTCATTAAAATTATTAATTATTTAATCGTAATATAAAACAAAAACCTTTTTAAAATTGCTTCAGTTTTCTTTAATCCTCCGCTGTTTTATCCCATAATTATTGTTCTTCGTTAATCTTATATTTAAATTATTCATCTTTAATATAAAACAACCCTTTGGTTTTTAAAAACCTCTTCACTTCTTCTTATATCCACTTTCGCATCCATAGACATCTGAAATAATGAGAACAATGTTATGAAACAAATATAATTTTAAATTTGCATTCAGGGCATCAGAATAGAGAAAGGGCAAAGACGGAATATTAATATTTTTTTATGAAGCTGTGCAATTGTTATTAATGTTTTTTGAATTGAAAATTTTTATTTCATCACATTTTATTAATTTCAAAAAAAAAAAATTCAAGATGTACCTTTCGGAAAAATATATGAACGCAACTTATGACTCTTGTAAGGGTATTGTTGTACCAACAACTGGACAATTAGCATTGGATATAGGATGTGGTGTTCCAGCTGCCGATTGTTCACCAAAATTGTAATTATATAAATATTTATTTAATAAGAAAATTATTATTCTATGATTTTCAATTTACAAGAATTACCAATTTGAAAAATTTATAAAATTATTTTTATTATAAATAGATGGTTTCAATTTTTTGGTAACACACCAAAAACTGGTGGATTGTCACCAGTGCAATTAAGATTTTTTTACAATGAAACAGAAAGGGAAATGTATCATACAACAAAACGGTGTGATGAATCGTATGACGTGAGATATAAATTTTTTTTATTATTTTAAAATATTTCAGTTTTATATATTTTTGAAATATTTTAATTTTAAAATGTGTAAATTTATTTTTGATCAGGATTCCTCGGAATCTTGTAGTTGTGTCGATTGTCCAAGTTCCTGTCCACTAAGTGAATTAACACCAGCAAATTCACCATTTCTAATTATTGGCCTAAATGGATATGGAATTATTGGATGCGCTATTATTTTGTATATGACATTAATGATTGTATTTTTATCTTACATTTGGACAAGACACACGTCTAGTAAGAAATTTTTAATAAAATAAAAAAATTTTCATTTATATTGAGTTTTTAAAAATTGAATTTAAAAAAACTTTTTTTTTTTATTAAAAACTTAATTCTTTTGTAGAAATTGAAATGGAACCAAACGATAGTTTCGAGAAATTACGAAATTGCAAGACCAAGGCAAAAATGCATCTTTATGGAGTTTTACAATCATTTTTCATTATTTGGGGAAAATGTAATTCACATTTTTTTGAATTTTAAATAATTTTTCTAAGTATAATAATTATAATAATAAAGAGAAAATTTTTATTTTTTAGATTGTGCAAAGTATCCAACAGTGATTCTTTGCCTCTGTTCCTATATAATTTTGGGTCTGAGCTATGGAGCCTTGAATCTCAAAGTGACTGTGAATCCCATTGAAATTTGGGCATCACCAAATAGTCGTTCACGAATTGAAAAAGATTATTTTGACAAAATGTTTAAACCATTCTATAGAACTGAACAAATTTTCATTAAAGCTGTTGATCTCAAACCTGTGAGTCCATAAAAAAAAATTTAATTTTTTCTTTTACATGAATGATATTTTAAAATTCACTCAAAATCATATTTTGTTATAAAAAAAAACCAAAAAAAATATAAAATATTTTTGTTACAGGTTTTACATCAAAAGCCAGATGGTGTAAAAAAATTTGGACCAGTTTTCAATCGTGAATTTTTAATGGCCGTTTATGATTTACAAGAAAAAATTTTAGAGGTTGAATTTTTTTTCAAACATTTCAATTTAAAAAAAAAGTTAAAATAAAAATTTACAATTGAAAAATTATAAAAATTCAACGAATTTTAAAATTTTTCAGCTTGGACAAGAAACTGGTGAAGGATTAGAAAAAATTTGTTATGCACCAACTCAAAATGAATTCACAGGTCAAGTGACAATTAGCAATTGTGTCGTTCAAAGTATTTGGGGATATTTTCAAAATGATTTAAAAACATTCAATGAAACAGAAATTGTCGATGGAATAGAGAAAAATTATTTGAATCATCTGGAGAGATGTTTGCAGTACGTAAAAAAAATTTTAAATATTTAAAAAAAATAAACTAAAATTACAATTTAAAATTTTTTTTTAATTTAAAATTAAAAATATATTAGAAAAAAAAAGTTCTAAATTCTAAAAATGATAAAATTTAGAAATTAAATTTTCAGAAATCCATACAATCCAGATTGTCTTGGTCCTTATAAGGGTCCAATATTTCCGGCAATTGCATTTGGTGGTTTCTTAAAGAAAGGAAAATACAATTACGATGCCTCAAGTTATATAAAAGCTACTGGATTGGTTTTGACATTTATCGTTAAAAATACCGTCGATGAAGAGGAAATGAAGCCAATTATTAAATGGGAACAAAAGTATTTTGTCCTTTTTCCGTTTCAATTTTTTAAAACTCTTTTTTAAATAAGAATTTTTGTATTTTTTAAACTATTTTTTTAAATTTATCTTTTTTTATTACTAAAAAAAAATTTCAGATTTATCGATTTTATGAAAAATTGGAATGAATTTCATCGACCTAAATTTATGGAAATTGCATTTAGTGTTGAAAAATCCGTTGAAGATGAATTGGATAGAGTTTCAAGGGCGGAAATTTTTATAATTGCCATAAGCTATGCACTTATGTTTATTTATATTGCATTTGCATTGGGAAAATTTGAAAGCATTAATAAATGTTTTGTAAGTAAAATAATTTATATATTTTAAAAATTTGACGTCATTTTAATATTTTTTTTTAGAAAAATTAATTTTTCATTTACTGTTGCAGGTCACAAGTAAAATAGTTTTAAGTCTAGGGGGAATTTTAATAGTTATGGCCTCGGTGACATGTTCTTTGGGTGTTTTCGGTTATTTTGAAATTCCAACAACTTTATTAACAATCGAGGTTAAAAAGAATTTAAAAAAAAAATTTAATTTATTAAATATTGTAATTAAAATATTTTTAAAAAAAAATTATTTTTTATAGGTTGTTCCGTTTTTGGTACTGGCAGTGGGTGTTGACAATATTTTTATTTTAGTACAAACATTTGAAAGATTTCCCCGCGTATCATCGATTCCCGATCATATGAGCCGAATTTTAGGATTAGTCGGACCTTCTATGCTTTTAACGAGTGCCTCCGAGTGTTGTTGTTTTTTAATTGGTAAATTAATTTATAAACATTTTTTTAAAATTTATTAAATCATTCACTCAAAAAAAAAAAATTTTCACCTAGATCAGCGATATGTTTCACTAAAATAGTGAAAGTTTTCGCTATTTTAGAGAAATATATCGCTGTTCCAAAGAAACTTATAGCTGTTACAGGTGAAGATTTTTTTTTTGAGTGTTTAAATTAACGAAATTCATTAATAAACTAATTAGTTATTACATTAAATTAAATTAATAAGCCAATAAGTTATTGTAATTAATTTTTGTTTTATTTTTAAGGCTCTCTATCAACAATGCCGGCAGTTAAAACATTTGCAATGTACGCATCATTGTCGATTTTTTTTAATTTTCTTTTACAAATAACAGCATTTGTTTGCTTATTATCACTAGATACAAATCGATTAGAGGTAAGTTTATTAATTTTATTATTTTAAATTTATCTATTCTAACGTTTTTTAAATTTTAATTTGATTACAATTTTAATTTTTTAAAAAATAAAATTTTTTTAAAATTAAAAATTAAAATTACTTAAAATTGTAATTAAATTAAAATTAAAAAGAAATAATGTTTATGAAATAATAATTAATGTTTCAGAAAAATCGTCTCGATGTTTTTTGTTGTATTAAAACAAATAACACAATAACGGATTTAAATGGTCAAGGATTGATTAAAAAAATTTTCAAAAATTTCTACGTTCCATTTTTAATGCGAAAACCAATAAGGCTAATTGTTTTATTATTTTTCCTAATAGCGGTCTCTTTCAGTATCGCAGTAGCTCCAAATTTATCAATTGGTTTAGATAAAAAACATTCAATGCCTGACGATTCTTATGTTTTAAAATATTTCGAGGTAATTACTATATAATTTAATTATTATTATTATTATTATTATTATTATTATTATTATTATATTATTATTATTATTAAATAAATTTTTTAATTTAATTTTTTTTAAATAATCTTTTTTTAATTTCAAAAATATTATTTAAAAGAGAAAAAAATTATTTTTAGTTTATGGAAGAATTTTTGTCAATGGGACCACCGGTTTATTTTGTTGTAACAAAAGGATTGAATTATAGTTTAGAAAATGTACAAAATGTAATTTGTGGAAGTCAAGGTTGTAATGTTGATTCTTTATTTTCGCAAATTTATTCCGCAGCTAAACAACCATCAATGTGAGTTATATTTAACAGAAAAATGTATCCTCTGATTATACTTTTTTATATTTTAAGAAAAAAAAAGAAAGATTTACCTGGAACAGGAAAATGTTTCACTACAATAGGAAAAGTTTTACTTGTTTCAGTTAAATATTTCGCTATTCTAGTTAAATCTTTCGCTTCAGGTAAATCTTTTTTTCTGGAATTAATTTAATAAATTAATTTAATTTTTTTAAAAAATTATTTTGAAATAATTTTTACAATTTTAACTCAATTTTTCAGATCATATTTAACAAATTCAGTATCCTCTTGGATGGACGACTATTTTGATTGGACCACCATTAATGGATGTTGTAAATATTTTAAGAGCAATAATTCCTACTGTCCACACAATAATGGTAAATTTTTTTTTTGCCGTATCTTTTCATTTAAATACGAAAAAAAAATAATTCAATTTTAATCCATTTATACAAAAAAAAATAATTCTACTAAATTTTTTTCCGTTTATTAGAATATTGTGAAAAATGTAAAATTACAAAATCCGAAAAACGAAAATCGCGACCAGACGAAAATAATTTCCGTAAATATGTACAATTTTTTTTAAATGACATTCCGGATGATGAATGTGCAAAAGGAGGACGAGCTGCTTACTTAGACGTAAGTAAAAAAAGACCAAGTTTAAAAAAAAAAAATTTTTTTTGCCATTTTTCAAAATTTACAAAATTTATCATTTTTTTAGGCTATTAATTATAATATTGATAAATATGGAATGATAGACGTTGGCGATTCATATTTTATGAGTTATCATGTTCCATTGGTAAAAGATTCGGATTGGTATGAATCAATAAAAGCCGCGAGAGGAGTTGCCGATAATATAACAATGATGATTAACAATGCAAATCTCACTAATGAAACAATTTCCGTATTTCCCTACAGGTAATAATTCAAAAAATTTAATACCATTTGAAAAGAAAAAAATTTTTTTTTTTTAATACACAAAAAAAAGATTTACTTGGAACAGCGAAACGTTTCACTATGATAGGCAATAGTTTTACTTGTTTCAATTTATTCTTTCGCTATTCTAGTGAAACTTTTCGTTGTTTCAGGTAAATATTTTTTTTGTATAATTTTAATTTTTTTTAAAATGAAAATTATTTTTTAAAATTAGAGTAAGTATTTATAAAATTCTTTTTTTGGTAAATATGAAAAGAATAGTATATTATGTGGCAAGCACGTAAAGTAGTACTTTTTAGGTGAGGATCATCCGAACCTAAAAATTACTACGTACGAGCCACATACGCTATTTTTTTCGCCATTGTTATGAAAAAGTTAAACAATTTTAAAGAAAAAAAAAAAAAAAAAAAATATATATATATATATATATATATATATATATTTATATAATATATAATATATATGAAATAGTATATAAAATAAAATAATAAAAATTGATAAATAAAATAAAAGCAAAACAAAAATTATGCAAAAATTAACAACTGCCTTAAAAAGTGCTACTTTATCTGCCCAAAACAGGCACAAAAAAGACACTTTTTCATGTCAATGGCGAAAAAACTATTTTATAAAAAATAAAATTTTATTTCAGTGTTTTTTACGTATTTTACGAGCAATATTTGTCAATATGGTGGGAAACACAAAGTTTTCTTGGATTAGCAGTGGGAGTAATTTTTATTGTCACATTTATTTTCACTGGATTTTCCTTTTTTTCTGCATTTATTGTCGTTTTAAATGTTATAATGGTCGTTATTAATTTAATGGGACTTATGTATTGGTGGAATATTTCTCTAAATGCTGTATCACTCGTTAATCTTGTTATGGTAAAATTTTCCATTATTCATTTTTATTTTAGCGTAAAATTACAAAAAAAAAATTGAAAAAAAATAATAATTTTTACAGGCTGCCGGAATTACGGTTGAATTTTGCAGTCATATTGTTCATTCTTATTTAACATCAAAATTTGAAACTAAAGTGGGAAAAACAAGTGATGCACTCATACAAATGGGAAGTTCAGTAAGTTATAAATTTTTTTAAATTTTTTATATTTTTATATATTTATAAAGAAAATTATACATTTTTTTTTAACATTAATATAGAATTTAAAAGATTTATTTATAATGAAAATTAAAAAAATTAATTTTAATTTTTTTTTCAGGTATTTTCCGGTATTACTTTAACAAAATTTGCCGGAATTATTGTTTTGGCTTTTGCAAAATCGCGAATTTTTCAAATTTATTATTTTCGAATGTATTTGGGAATTGTTTTAATCGGCGCCGCTCACGGTTTAATATTCCTACCAGCTTTATTAACATTTATCGGTAAATTGATAATCAAAAATATAATATTATTTTTTGCAATTAAAATCATTTTTACTTGAATTATTAAAATAATAATAATAATAATTATTATTATTATTATTATTTGCTACTAATTTAATAAATTAAAACAAATTATAAATTTCTCAAATTTTCTCATTCGGAAAATTTATAAATTTTTTCTTTTAATTTTAGGTCCACTATCAAATGTTTACATATCGGAATCTTCATCACCCAGTTGGAAAAATGTAAGATAACTGTTAAATAAAGTATACAAGAATTTTTTTAAACTAATAGAGAATATTACTATAGAATTATACTGTATTAAAAAAAAAAAAAATTGCGTTACGAAAATTAAACTTTAAAAAATTTCCACAAATAGCCGGATTAATATAATTATTAATTCCGTTTTTTTTTATTCGGGTCGTTTATCCCTCTCTAAATTAAGTATGATTGCTAAATTAATTAATTCGACTACAAAAGTGTAGGGATATAGCCGATTCGATATTTTTAAACCGATTAAAATACTAATTTTAAAAATGTTTTACTTCTTTAATTTTTTTTTTTTATATTTTACGAGAGAAGTGGAAAATCTGCACAACCTTTGGAATCCAACTTTCAAAGTAGATGAAACATAATTTTATTTTAAAATAATCTTTTTAAAATTATTGTTAAAATAATTTTTTAAAATTATTGTTACACTTACTGGACTATTAGTTGTTGTTGTCTAAAAGACAAAAAAGTTTCAAATTGTCCAAAAAAAAACAATGTTTGAATAAAATTTCCAAGACTGGTAAGTAATAAAAAATAAATTTTTTTTTTACCGACACAGAAATCTACATTGCCGAAAGATAGCAAAGAAATTTTTTTGAAAAAATGAAAATATAAAAATTACCGACATAGAAATCTACCTTATCGACTGATGGCAAAGAAATTTTTTTTTGGAAAATGAAAATATAAAAATTACCGACATAGAAATCTACCTTACCGACTTATGGTAAAGAATTTTTGTTGGAAAATGAAAATATAAAAATTACCGACATAGAAATCTACCTTACCGACTGATGGTAAAGAATTTTTGTTGGAAAATGAAAATATAAAAATTACCGACATAGAAATCTACCTTACCGACTGATGGTAAAGAATTTTTGTTGGAAAATGAAAATATAAAAATTACCGACATAGAAATCTACCTTACCGACTGATGGTAAAGAATTTTTGTTGGAAAATGAAAATATAAAAATTACCGACATAGAAATCTACCTTTCTTTACCATCAGTCGGTAAAGTAGATTTCTGTGTCGGTATTTTTAATATTTTCAGTTTCAAATTTCAAAAAAAAACGTTACATAATTTAAGTATGACCCCTTAATGGAATAAAGAACAATGGGAGAAAGAAAATGACAAATTTTTGGAATGCGAGTCTTTATTGGAATACTATTACAGAAATGCAAAAAAAAAATGAAATTACAAATGGAGAAAACATTTTATTTTTCTCTTTTTTTTTATATTTGAAATGAGAATAAAGTCGCGTGTCGTTAATTACTCGACCGCTGAGATTAATATTATATATTTAATAAAGACCAAAAGACACAATTTTTGAAAATGAAAAATTTATCTAAATACCATTTCCTCCACGAAGACGGAGAACAAGATGAAGGGTTGATTCCTTTTGGATATTATAATCGGAAAGGGTTCTTCCATCTTCGAGTTGTTTTCCGGCGAAGATTAAACGTTGCTGATCTGGAGGAATACCTTCCTTATCCTGAATTTTAGCCTTTACGTTTTCGATGGTATCGGAGGCCTCAACTTCTAAAGTGATGGTTTTTCCCGTCAGGGTCTTAACGAAAATTTGCATACCTCCACGAAGACGGAGAACGAGATGAAGGGTTGACTCCTTCTGAATATTGTAATCAGAAAGGGTTCTTCCATCCTCTAACTGCTTACCAGCGAAGATCAAACGTTGCTGATCTGGAGGAATACCTTCCTTATCCTGGATTTTAGCCTTTACGTTTTCGATGGTATCGGAGGCCTCAACTTCCAAAGTGATGGTTTTTCCAGTCAGGGTCTTAACGAAAATTTGCATACCTCCACGAAGACGAAGAACGAGATGAAGGGTTGACTCTTTTTGGATATTATAATCGGAAAGGGTTCTTCCATCTTCGAGTTGTTTTCCAGCAAAGATCAAACGTTGCTGATCTGGAGGAATACCTTCCTTATCCTGAATTTTAGCCTTTACGTTTTCGATGGTATCGGAGGCCTCAACTTCCAAAGTGATGGTTTTTCCAGTTAGGGTCTTAACGAAAATTTGCATACCTCCACGAAGTCGAAGAACGAGATGAAGAGTTGACTCCTTCTGAATATTGTAATCAGAAAGGGTTCTTCCATCCTCTAACTGCTTACCAGCGAAGATCAAACGTTGCTGATCTGGAGGAATACCTTCCTTATCCTGGATTTTAGCTTTTACGTTTTCGATGGTATCGGAGGCTTCTACTTCCAAAGTAATGGTTTTGCCAGTCAGGGTCTTAACGAAAATCTGCATACCTCCACGAAGACGAAGAACGAGATGAAGAGTTGACTCCTTCTGAATATTGTAATCAGAAAGGGTTCTTCCATCTTCTAACTGCTTACCAGCGAAGATCAAACGTTGCTGATCTGGAGGAATACCTTCCTTATCCTGAATTTTAGCCTTTACGTTCTCGATGGTATCGGAGGCTTCTACTTCCAAAGTGATGGTTTTTCCAGTCAGGGTCTTAACGAAAATCTGCATACCTCCACGAAGACGAAGAACGAGATGAAGGGTTGATTCCTTCTGGATATTGTAATCGGAAAGTGTTCTGCCATCCTCCAACTGCTTACCGGCAAAGATCAAACGCTGCTGATCGGGTGGGATACCCTCTTTATCTTGGATTTTAGCTTTAACGTTCTCGATAGTATCGGAGGCCTCAACCTCAAGGGTGATGGTCTTCCCAGTGAGGGTTTTCACGAAAATTTGCATGGTCGAGCTAAAAACGGTGAAAATTTTTTACGTTTTTTATTTTGCTCTCTCTCTTTTTTATGAAGTGAAAAGGTTTGGAATTTTAGTTGTAAAAAACCAAATAGACTTATAGAGTATTTATCCAAATAGGTAGTATTTTCTCAACTTCGATAATTATGGAAATCAATGTAAAATTTCTTTTTCGATTTTGGAAATTAGATAAAAATAACAAGTTTTAGAGACGAGGTTACGGTAACTAGATTCGTTACCATCATCAGGGTAGAAGTTAAAAAAATTTTAGTAGATTTTCAAAAATTAAAAAAGTAAAATTGAAAATTTACACAAAATTTTTTTTATCTTTTAAAATGATGATGGTAGAGAATCTAATTACCGAAACGTCGTTATGTATAAAAGTTTTTTTTTTACTTTTACCTATCTTCCAAAATCGAAAAATGAATTTTACATTAATATACTATTATAGAAGGAAAAAATTCCAAAAAAAAACACCAAATTGGATTTATGAAGACCCAATAGAGAAAGAAGGAGAAAAACAACCAAAAACAAGCAGAAAGGTAGAAGGCGCAAAAAGAAGCAAAAATTGGATATATAAAAACCAAATTTTTTAAACAGATTTAAAATTTTTTTTTCTTGAAATTGCTATTTTTAAGAAAACATTATAAATAATATTCTAATTTTTTTTTCAAGTATTAAATATTTTTTTCTAATACATTCCTGGGTATGAACTACCAAAAAAAATTGAATAAACCTAATTTTAAATTATAAAACAATAAATGGAAATAATTAAAATAAAAAATAAATTGTAGGTAAAAACGGAAATAAAATTGTAAAATGAAACAATTTTATTAATTATTAAATATAATTATTATTAACTATAAATTAATAATTATTAATTATTATTAACTATTAATTAATAATTATTAATTATCATTAATAAAATCAAAATATTAAATAATAACTAAATTTGCTATGCTTTAAATAAGAAAAAAAATGTAATAGAAAATAAAATAAATTAACGGTTAATTAAACTTAACGATGGCGAACGTAACATAACCTCAAAATTAAAAAATGGTTTTTAACGTAAACAAAAATATAAAATACAAATTAAATTCAAATAATTTTTGAAAATTTAGTTATTTATTTATTTACATGTATAAATTTCAGAAAAAATGATATTAAAAAAATGTTTCGTCAAATTTTCTTAACATTCTGATTTTTTTTCCTTCTTATTTTTGTTTTTTCTTAGAATAAAATAGCAATTTTTTTATCTGATTTTTAAAATTAAATCAAAATATACATTAAATATTACAAAATGTTTAAAAAAAGCTATTTTTTTAAAATTGAATTAAAATTGCAATTTTTATCTGAGTTGGAAAAAAAAATTAATGAAAAATTTTGACTAAACAATTTTTTTTTCTCTTTTTTCTAAGTGTTTATAACTATATTTTTCCAAAATTGATTGAAATTTATTTTTATTATACTTTTTATTTATTATTAAAATTTCTAAAAAAAATTTCAATTAAAAAATATTGAAAATAATATTTAAAAAATAAAATTTTAAAAACAAAAAAAAATAAAAACCGATTTTTCTTCCTTATTTTTTTAAAAAAAGGAAAATGAAACAAAAAATTGAAAGAAAAAAAATTATAAAAATTATAAAAACACTTTTATTCTTTTTCCAAGGAAAAATTAAATTTTTATTTTTATTTTATATTTTTTTTTTGTATTTTGTTCTTTATTTAGTAAAAAATTTGGTTCTCATATTTTTCTCAGAAAAAAAAACTTCAAAAATCCCCCACTACTCGATATTTTTTTTTTTGTAGATAAAATAAGATGAGATGAGATAAGATGAAATGAATTGAAATGAAAATAAAAGAAAACAGTAAATCTAAATTTTCCCATTATTGTTTAATTAAATTTTTTAAATTAATACTTATTTTAATTCTAATTAAAAAAAACCTGTTTTTATTTTATATTTTTTTAGCTTTTTCTTATTTTTAACAATTATTATTATATTATTTATAAATTATTTTTTCTGTATTGTTATTTTTAATAATTATTAAATTTAATTTCTTTTCAATTATAAAGAAAAAAAAAATATCAAAATTAAAAAATTTAAAAAAATAAAAAAAATACTAAAAAAATTTCAATTTGTTTTAAATAATTAGTTTAAAATTTTTTAAATAAATTTCTTAAGTATATAATTATAATATTATAATTATATTAATATTGATATTATAATTTTATAATAATAATAATAATAGGTAATAATAATAATAATAATAATAAATACTTACGAATAATTAAAATAATAATAATAATTTTTCATATTAGAAATATAATTATAATATTGTTATAATTTTAGTTAATTAATAATTAATTAATTAATTATTTTTTTAAATTATATTATAATTATATTTTATTAATAATATAATACTAAAATTATAACAATATTATAATTATATTTCTAATATGAAAAATTATTATTATTATTTTAATTATTCGTAAGTATTATTATTATTATTATTATAAAATTCTATCTTTAAAAAATTATTTCTAAATCGAAATACAGAAAGAAATTTTATTTAAATGTAAAAAATATTTAAATTATTAAAGAATAACGAATTTTGTAAAACTTTAAAAATAAAAAAATAAAAAAATCACAATATTAACAAAAAAAAAATAAATAGGAAATTATTGATTTTTATATTACATATACAGATAAAACACAGAAAACGATAAAAGACAAAAAAAAATGTCTCACAATACGAAAAACCAGTAAAAATTTCCCATAAAAAACGAAATAATAAATTTAAACGACTGAAAAGCAATAATTTCTAATCGACAAAAAAAAAGAAATAAATAAAATAAATTCTCCTTTAGCCAACAATTTTTTTTTTCTACATATACATTATCTATAAAATATGATTACTATAAGAAAAAGAAAACAAAAATTTACCAACGTAAAAAATCAATAAAACTGTCACAAAGACGCCATTTTGAAAATGACAATAACATTTTCTAGAAACTTCCAAAAAAGAAAAAAAAACATTTACACATAAATAGAAAATTCAATTAAAATAACCAAAACCAAAAAAAAAATGGAATTTTAAAAAACACTATTTTCTAATTCTAAAGAAAATAAAAAGGCTACATTCATAATATAATGATTAAATGATTAAAAAGACAAAGAAATTTCTTTTCGATTCCTTTGTCTCTAGAGAAAATTTAGAGACAAATATGCGTCATGAGACAATTTTAAGCAATGAAGGAGAAAAAAAAACATAGAAAACTTTTGTCAAAATGAAAACATGAATTTTTTCAATTAACTCACCTTTTAACGAGACAATTTGTCGATAATTAAATACGAAAAAAGATGGACTTTTCTGCGATGATAAATTGTAGATGTGACGAAGACTGAACCGTTAATGCCTTTTGCTTGACGTTTGTCGTTTTTACATTAAACATTTGACAATTGCTGCCAACCTAAAGTTAACGCGCACCAAATATAACTGCTAGTAATAAAATAATTAAGAAAAAAAAATTTTTTTTAATTCTCTAGAAATTACTATTTTGTAATTTATTATTTTAATTTACTGAAATATATTTTATTTGAAATCGATAAAAATATGATTATTATTTATCTCCTTTTTAAACTCACAACATCAAGCTGTTTCTACAACAACTTTTTTTTTCGCCATGAACAAAATTGTCCATAACTAATGCGCGCGCATTTTTTAAAGCTGCATACACACTGTTTGTTTTTGCGAGCAATGAATTTTTCACGATCGAATCTAATTGGCTCTGACAAATATTCTATTTCCGTGAAAAAAAATGGAATATTGTTGGAGCCAATCAAATTCAGTGATTCTCTGTAAAAAAAAAGCATCGCACGCCAAAAATCAAAAAGGTGTAAAAGCACCTTAATGTTTTTTTAAACTTTTTAACGGAGCATTTACACCTTTGGTAAAAAAATTTTTTATTTTTGAATTTTCCGAAATACACAAACCTGATTGGTTGTTCACAATCTGATTGATAATGGACAACCAATCAGATCTTTGCATTTACGAAAATCAAAATAAAAAATTTTTTTTACCAAAGGTGTAAATGCTCCATAAGTTTTATCATCGTTTAATGGAGCGGTCACACCTCGCCTGCAGGAGCCAACCAAATCAGTTGGTTTCCATTGTCATCACTCGTTATTTGTCATAATTCTCGTCAACTATCGCACCCTGCTCTGGTAAAAATTTAGTAACTTTATTGATAAAATTAAAAGTTACTAAATTTTCACTAGATCAAGGTGCGGTAGTTGACGAAAATTATGACAAATGGCGAGTGGGGACAATGGAAACCAACTTAAATCGATGCAGATTGAAAAAAGGTTGGTGTGGAAACAGCTTTATACACCCAATTGCGTAAGTGCTGTCCTTTCGGTTTGACGACATTTTGAAAATTCGTGACACTTCTACAGTAATTTTATTAGTTCGTGGCGTAAGGCTTTAAGACCTGAGCAGAATAGAAACTTATCCGTAATCGTAACCGCAAACGCAACCGAAATAATGAGTTAGAGAAGGAAAAACAATATGTCTATCCTACTCTAACACATTATTTCGGTTGCGTTTGCGGTTACGATTACGTTTCTAATTTAGAAACGTAACCGGAATTGTAACCGCAAACGCAACCGGAAAAATGAGTTGGAGAAGGACAAACAATATGTCTATCCTTCTCTAACGTATTTTTCGGGTTGCGCTTGCGATTACGATTCCGGCTACGTTTCTATTCTGCTCAGGCCTTTACATTGTTCGTCACAAACTAATAAAATTATTATAGAAGTGTCACGACTTTTTCAAAATGCCGTCAAACCGGAAGGAGAGTTTGGTTTCCATTTTTCACATTCGTCATTTGTCATAATTATCGTTAACTGCCGCACCCTGCTTTAGTAAAAGTTTAAGGCTTCAGTCCCATGGCAGCGTTTTGCGTTGCGTTTTGTCACTAGATCCTGAGTGTAAACATAGCAAACATATATCTGCATCTCTTTTACACTCATGGTCTAGTGACAAAACGCAACGAAAAACGCTGCCATGGGACTGCAGCCTAAGGCCTGAGCAGAATAGAAACGTAACCGGAATTGTAATCGTAAACGCAACCGGAAGAATAAGTTAAAGAAGGACAAACAATCTATCTATCCTTCTCTAACTCATTCTGCCGGTTGCGTTTGCGATTCCGGTTACCTTTCTATTCTGCTCAGGCCTAGTGAATTTATTGTTATAATTAAGGGTACAATCATACTATCTCATACATGCAGAAACATTTGTCCGGTCACACTTCAACGAAATCTAGTTAATGTTTAGTAACTTTCTACTTAGAACCGAAATTTTTTAAAAAATTACTAGAAAGTTACTAAACATTCACTAGATTTCGTTGTAGTGTGAAGACCTGAACAGAATCGAAACGTAACCAAAATCGTAATTGTAAACGCAACCGGAAGAATGAGTTAGAAAAGGATAGACTTATTGTTTGTCCTTCTCTAACTCATTATTCCGGTTGTATTTGCGGTTACGATTACGGTTACGTTTCTATTTTGCGTTGGTTTTGAGCGGCCAAATATTTCTGCATGAATGCAGAAGATAATGTGAAAGGTACCCTTAATGTTACTAAATTTTCTCTAGAACAGGGTGTGGTAGTTGAAAAATTTAAAATTTTATAATAAATTATTGCCATGGCAACGCGTAGAAAAGGACAAAAAGAAGTTGTAGGAATACACGACGTACGTTAGCGAATGAGTTGAAAAAGAAAAGAGAATATTTGTGTCCTTTTCTATCTCATACATTTTGTTCGCGACACAATTGTGAATTGACCCTTAAACTTCATAAACTTTCGCATAAATTCCCAACCTTGCTTCATATTCTTTAACATAAGTTCGAAAAGAACAGAAAACATTCCTCTCTCTCTCTCTCTCTCTCTCTCTCTTTCACAATTTTACCATTGTGATGAAAGCCTAATTTGTCCAAGCATGAACTAGAAAAGGACAGTTAGTCAGTCTCTCTCTTCCTCGTCCGTGCAAACGATTTTCCCTTCTGCTTCGAGTGCAACCACGGGGTCCACGGAGCTGGAAGCAGGGAGCCCCGCCCGCTTTCGCACAGTGGTGACAGTCAGTAGAACCCAGAAAAGTTAAAGAACGAAAATATATATTAAGTGCGGGATATTGTGTGTATATTTGTACAACTTTTTTTTTTTCTGTGCTCCCCGTCCCTCTCGATGAAAACAATAATTCAATAACTCTCATTCCAATCAATTGGTGCGTATGTTGAAAATTGTCAAAAAAAAAAAAAAATACTCCCAATAGACGTGAATATCAGTTTTTTTTTTTTTTCATTGCGATCGGACGCAGCCGGCACTGTAAAAAAAAAGTGTTCGGTCCATTGTCACAGTGCGCGTCAATTGTTTAAAAAATTTATAATAGAGAGAGAGAAAAAAAAACGCAATTGTCGAAAAGTGTTTCTGTGTAGTGTTTGTGATTGAAAGAAGAAGTGAGATAAAAAAACAAAAAAAAAAAGGAACGATTAAATCTTTAGGTGGTGACCGTTATTGGCGCAGGAGGGGCGGCTTTCAGGGATTTCAAACGAACGTGGCGTAGCTCCTTCAAGGAGCCCCAGGTAAATAAATTATCTTTTTTCCGATTAAATTTCAAAAAAAAAAAAAAATCCAAGCGCGAGTATTATTAACTTTTTTTTTTTTGACAAATTTTTCAAACAATTGTTGGGTGTTCGATCTTTTGCAAATATGGCGGCTGATTTCCCCCCTTTTATATATATATATATATATATTACACATTCTTGCCTTCAAATGTCACTTTGGTTTTCATTTCGATGTTAATTGTACAGTCATCAGAGTGTACTTTCTATTTTTCTTTCTTTTTTTTGATAAACGAATCGAATAAAAATCAAAATAATAATAATAATAATTAGTGCTGGAAAATTTATTCCAAGTTACGGAGCAATTATTCTTATTTTTTACACTATTAATAATTTCATTCAAGTTTTTAGTATATTATTATTGTTATTATTATTATACTATTATTATTTTTTGTATTATATTATTATTATTATTATCATTATGCTATTATTTTTATATTAATATTATTATTATTATTATTATTATCATTATACTATTATTTTTATATTAATATTATTTTTAATTATTATTATTAGAAATTGAAATTTTTTCGATTATTGGAAGTGAGAAATAAAATATTTATTATTATTATTATTATTATTATTATTATTATTATTATTATTATATTATTATGATAATAATATTTATTATAATTTTTATATTATTATCAGTATGCTTCGTATTATTAATATGAAAAATAACTTCTTTTTTTTACATTCTGCGATAAAATGCAAAAATGATTTATTATTTATTTGCTTAGTGTAACTTACATATATATATATATCGTTAAAAAAAAATAAGGTGCAAAAAAAATATGCAAATTTTCCAGTTGCATCAATAGTTATCAATTTTAAATATAGAGATATTTTTTTACAATTAACCTTTCTTGTTTATTATCATATAAACGAAAAAAATTTTTTATTATTTTTCATATTTGCTTTTTCCAATTTTTATTATTGATAAATATTTATTTTTTCGTTTTTTTATTATTTTATTTATTATTATTATTATTTTTTTTATTTATTATTTTTAATATTAAATTCTTAATTTACAAATTTAATTTTTTAATTTTCGTTTTGTTTTATTTTTTTTTGCCCTTTTTTTATATTCATTTTTCGAGAGTAGATTTTTTGCTATTATTGTTATTATTATTATTATTATTATTATTATTATTATTATTATTATTATTATTATTATTTTCCCGATATTTTTAAAAATATTACACTTGATAGAATAGAAAATAAATAGTCTATGAGCGGAGGAAATTTATTCCAAGCTCTGACATACGTCTCTGACTCTCGATCTAATTTCGGCGAAAAAAAAAATAAGGAAATCTCTTTTTTTTTGGAATTTTTGCATTTAATTCGGAAAATTTTATTATTTTTTTTCCTTGTTTTTTAACTGGAAAAAATATATATGATTTTTTTCCGGTATAAGGAAACACCCAACTCTGTCGTTATATATGTATATATATAGTGAATGTTTTCGAAATGGTTAGTAGTGTCATCTACAATCGAAGGGTTAATGTTTTCCAATCATAATATATATATATGTAATACAAAGTCCCCCTCTCTCTATATTCGCAAACGACGACAACGACGACGACATGAAGTTATTTCCCTCGTCTTCAATATTCTGAATCTTTTTATCTATTATTATTATTATTATTATTATTTTATTATTTTATTATTTTATTATTATTATATTTATTATTATTATTATTATTTTATTATTATTATTATTATTATTATTACTGTTATTATTATATTTATTTTTATTATTATTTATTATTATTATTTATTTTTATTATTTTTTTTTATTATTATTTTTATTACTAGTATTATTATTATTATTATAATTTTTTTATTTTTTTCGTATTTCTTCATTTTCTGATTCGTTTTTTTTTTTGTTCACTTTAATATTTTCTAAATTTTACTCAACTATTTATCATTGTTACCTGTTTTTTTTTTTTTTTTTTTTTTGTATTTGTCACAAATCGACGTCTACAAAAGTACTTTTATATAATATGAGATTTTCAAAAGAGAATCACGAGAATATAAGGAACTTGGAGCGTAGACCTCATTAACCTAAAAATCCAAATATTCTCGTTTGACGTCATATTTATTATATAGACGATTGACAGAAAATGGAAATAATAACTATTTATCTCTAATTTTTATGTTTCTAAACGCCTAAAAAAAAATTTTTTTTCATTTTTTAAACAAAAAAAAATGTAATTAAAAAAAAATTTTTTTTTTTTTTAAATGAAATTTTTATGAAATTTATTAAAATAATTATTGATTGTTATTTAAAAAAAAATTTTTTTTTTTGTTAATATTATTAAATAACAAAAAATTATTGAAAAAAATTTTTTTTTGTTAATATTATTAAATAACAAAAAATTATTTAAAAAAAAATATTTTTTTTTTCGAATCATGAAAATTGTGGGAGGATAGCAAATTTTTTTTTTTTTTGGATTCCTTTTAACGGTTTGAGAAAAATAAATTCGATTAAAATATATATTATTTTTTTTTTAAATTAGATTTTTCTTTTATTGTATTGAAATATAAAATGAATTTTTTTAAAAATTTTTTTTGGGAACATCTCGCAATTTGAGAGCAAAACGGTTACTGCGTCGACTCAATGCGCCGCATTCAGGTGCTACTCTGACGTCATAGAGAGCGAGCTTTGACGTCATTCACCTGTGTGCCTCTTTTCTCTCTCTATTTCTTTTTATAATTCTTCCAAAAGCTTGCAATGGCCCAATGAACTCTCTTCAAAGTCTGGCTCTTTAAATTTCTAACTAGCTCTTCTATACATTATTATTATTATTTTTTTTTTATTTTTATTATTTTTTATTATTATTAGTATTATCATTATTATTTTTTATTTTTATTATTTATTATTATTATTATTATTTATTTATTTATTTTCAACAATAAACGAATATGCGGCGGTATTTAATAATTATAATAATAATATAAAAATATTTATTAACATAGTAATTTCAGGGTATCTACTAGTCCTGGAAATGTCCTGGAATTTGAAAAAAAATGTCCTTGAAAGTCATGGAATTTTCAATTTTTGTCCTTGAATTTTTTTATATTTTACTTTTAAATTTTCAAAAAAATTTCTAATTTTGTCAATCAAGTTAAAAAAAAAATTCATTAAATAAGTAAAATGCAAAATTTTACTTAAGTAATTAATTAATTTTTTTTAATAATTTCTGAAAACAATAGTTAAACTAAAATTTTTTTTTTTATTATTTAAAGTCATTCAATTTAATGTCCTGGAAAAATAACAAAATTTGTCCTGAAAAAGTCCTGGAATTTTAATTCAAATTTTTAGTAGACACCCTGAATTTGAAATAATTATAATAATATAATAATAATTAATATATTATAACTATAAATAATTATTATAATAATAATAAAATTATAATTATTATAATAATAATAAAATTATAATTATTATAATAATAATAAAATTATTATTATTATTATTATTTGCAATTAATTCAAGATCAAAAAATAAAACCGCATGATGTATTTATTTTTAACTATTAAAATAAAACGCCGCCATTTTGAATTTTGAGGTCATTCCACTTTGAAAAATTTGTAATGAAAAAGCATTTATGTATAAATATATATATAAAAATCTATATTGCTTACCTCTTGGTAAAAAAAAAAAATATTATATTATTGATTGCGTTTATAAAACATTGGTCTCTCTTTCTCTCTCTCTCTCTCTCTTTCAGCGAGCTCGTTTACATGACCCACTTTGATAGTGATGATTTTACACGCACTACTAAACAAAATTTGTAACATCAAGTTGAGTTCATATGTAGTGACAATTATTACAAAAACAAAAAAAAAAAAAAAAAATTGAAAAAAATAGTACACTGAAAAAAAAACTAGTAGGTTTTACTACTTTTTAACTACTCTGAGTAGTAGAATAGGTCCTCAACTGAATTTAAACGGTTCTATTAACTGAAAAATAGTTAAACCAATTAAAAATGTAATTGGTAGAATTACATTTAGTGATTGTATTAACTCAATTTAAAAATGTTAAAACAACTCAAGATGTAAGTAGTAGATTTTACTACTTAAAGTGGTTCAATATAGGCTTTAAGAACATTTTTTTGGTACATTTAATAAATATTTTGCAATTGAAACTACTACTTTAAGTATAGTAAACTTTACTACTGAAAGTGGTTCAATAGGGCTTTAAGAACATTTTTTTGTAGAATTAATAAATCTTTTGCAATTAAAACTACTACTTTAAGTATATAGTAGATTTTACTACTTAAAATAGGAAAATAAAATTATTTTTTATTTATAATTGTTTATTATCAGTAGAATTGACTTTTTCATCCTCTCTCCTATACTGACGCTTATTTTATGCTGCCCTAACGATTATGTAACTAACAGAGAAAATTTCTAACCGACGGGAATTGAACCCTCGACCCTAACACGCTCGCAATCCGATACCTTAACCGACTAACCACGCACGCTCTCGCTACGACAGTCTGCAAACTACTCGAAGACTACTTTCTGCTTGTCCAATTGGTAATTTAACTATTTAAAGTAGTCATTTTTACTACTTTTATTAGTTGCTATAACTATTCTTTTTAAGTTTTGACTTGTAAATTTTTCATCTTTTAATTATATTATAAGTTATTTAATTGCATAGTGCAGTAAAATCTACTACTTAAAGTGATAGTTTTAATTGCAAAGGATTTTTTAATTCTACGACATCAAATGTTCTTAAAGCCTATTGAAACCACTTTAAGTAGTAAAAGCTACTACTGAAAGTAGTAGTTTTTGGAAACGATTTGTAAATTTTACATCATAAACGTTTTTCAAGCTTATTGAATTAATTAAAATAGTAAAAAATTACAAACTTAAAGTATAGTAGTTTTAATCACAAAGGATTTGTTAATTCTACAACAAAAATGTATTCTTAAAGCCTATTGTACCACTTTGAGTAGTAAAATCTACTATACTTAAAGTAGTACTTTTAACTGGAAACGATTTTTAAATTCAACATCAAAAATCTTCTTTAAGTTTATCGAATTAATTAAAATAGTAAAAAATCTACTACTTCCCACACAGCATCAGATATCCTAGGATATTCCAAAAATATCCCTTGGATATCCTAGGGATACCCCAGGGATATCCTAAGGATACTTTAAGGATATCAAAAGTAGCGGCGGTTAGGATATCCTAGGGATATCTAAGGATGTCCCTAGGACGTCCCAGGGATATCCTAATCATTTCCCAATATATTATTAGGATATCCTGTGGATATCCTCAGGACGTCCTAAAGATATCCCAAGGATATCCCTGGAATAATTAGGGATGTCCTTAGGACGTCCTAAGGATATCCACAGTATGTCTATATTAGCTTAAGGGTTAGAATATCCTTGAGTCGTTCTAAAATTTGAATCATAATGATATCCTAGGGAGATCTTAGCGATATTTCTAGAATATTTTAACGATATACTAAGTTTATCCCAAGAATATCCCCACGATATCACTAGGATATCCCTGGAATATCCCAGGGATATCCCTAGAATATCTTCAAGATATCCCCAGGATATCCTAAAAATATCCTACGTAACGGCGGTTTGGATGTTCTGAGGATATCCTCAGGATATCCTAGGATATCCTATGGACGTTTTCAGGATATCCTACATTAGTTTAGGATATCCTTTTGTTGTGAGGATTAAAGTAGTAGTTTTAATTACAGACGACTTGTTAATTCTACAACAAGAATTTTATTGAAGCCTATAAAATCATAGAAATTAATAAAAAAAATTGACTACTCAAAAAGCAGTTATATTAAATAAAGAAAATAATTCCTTTTACTACTTTTCATATAACTGGTGAATAGTAGTTGGATTTACTACTCTTGAAATTTTGAGTTGACTACAATTCCACTTGTTTTTACTACCTTAAGAAAGTTAATTTTACTACCGACCTGTATAGTTGTACTTTAACTACATATTTACGTAAAATCAACTATTACTTATTAACTTCTTAAAAATAGTTATACATTAACTACATGAACATGATTAGATTAACTAAAAAAAATAGTTATTTTAACTACTTTCTAGTCAACTACCCAATGGTAGTTGAATTTCTCGGCAACATTTTTTTCAGTGTAACAATTGAAAAAATAGAAAATGTAGTAACAAATATAGGAATGTATCATTATATTCCGTTAGAATTTTCATTTTATGGAATTTCATTTTTCATAAATTATTTTTGAACCAAATTTTTATTTATTCGAATTAATTTTGCAAGAATTTTTCATCAAAACAGATTTTTTTTATATTACAGAATTTTTACATAACTGAAAATTCACTTCACAGAGTTTTTATTTATTCGAATTTTTATTTGTCAGAATTTTTATTTACTCGATTTTTCAATCGACATTTTAAAGAATTTTTTATTGGCTAGAATTTTCATTTTATTCTTTAAGATGAATTTTCATTTGTTTCATTTGTTTCATTTCATTTATTGTGAATTTTTCATAAAAACCAATTTTTCTGCAGAATTTTTAACCGAAAATTCATTTAACAGAATTTCTAATTGATAAAAAATTTTCATTTGTCCGAAATTGCAAATGGCCGAAACAACAATCGATTTTGGCGCGATTTTTAAATTATCAACCAATCACAATTTTATTGATAATTTTTTTCATTGGTTGATAATTTAAAAATTGCGCTAAAATCGATTGTTTCGGTCATTTATAATTTCGGACAAATGAAAATTCTATCAAATTAGAAATTTTGTTAAATGATTTTGCAGTTAAAAATTTTGCAGAAAAATCGATTTTTGTAGAAATTCAATGAAATAATAATTTGAACAAATGAAAATTCTATGCAATGAAATTCTAGCCAATAAAAATTTTATAAAATGTCCTATTACGAGCGAATTAAAAATTTTGACAAATAAAAATTCTGTGAAGTGAATTTTTGGTTTTTTAAAAATTGTGTAATATAGAAAATCTGTTTTGAATAAAAATTCTGCAAAATACTAATTCGAACAAATAAAAGTTGGGCTAAAAAATAATTATGACAAATGAAATTCCATAAATTGAAAATTCTAATTAATGATTTTTAAAACATAATCATGCGTCCCAAAAAAAATAGTAACAAAAAAAATAATATTAGAAAATTTAGTGACAATTGTAAAAAAAACTAGTAGAAAAGATATAGAAAAATTTATTATTGTTATTTTTGCTATTATTATTATTATTATTATTATTATTATTATTATTATTATTATTATTTTGTTATTATTATAATTGATTAATCATTAAATGATTATTTTTAAAAAGGTGAGAAAACAGTTTTTTTTTTAAATTGCATTATAGCAACAGTTGTGTGATTGGTGAATGGCCAGAAAATAAAATATTAAATAATCTAGTATATATATATATATGACAAAATATATAGAGTTTGTGAAAGAAGCTGCCAAATCGGTATTTTTTTTCTATGGTTGGAGGGAAAATGAACTCAAGAAAAAGTGTCGGTTAAATTGGCGGTTAATCGCGAGTCAGAGACGGTTGCCAGAAACACACCTGTCTCTCGCTTGTGTGTGGAAGGAGTTTATAGTCAAGGTCGAATCATTTTTTATTCTTTTAACTTGTTGAAAACTACTAATTCAGATAAAAATTGATTATTTTCAATTTTTTTTTTTTTTTTTTTTTGAAAAAAAAACTGAAAACTAGTCATTTGTTTAGTAGTAGTTACTGTTTTTATTTAATTTTTTTTGAGTAAAAAATTATTAGTAGTAAAAAACTAATATTTCATTTAGTAAGGCTTACCAATTGAAAATAGTAATAGGTAGTTTATAAATTAGTAGTTTTTTTTTGCTAATTAGTTATTTTTGACTGGAAATTTGTTAACTAGTTTCAAACAAAAAGATCTTTCTGTAAATTTGTATTTTTTCGCCTTTAAAAGATGTCATTCATTGCAGAGTACATAATTACCAAGTTTCGTAAGGATCTGTTAATTTCTTTTAAAGTTATAACCGGTTTTTTGAATTTTTTTGGGGTCATTCCGTAATAATTATACGTTTTTTATTTCGAAATTTTGCATTTTTTAAAATAAAACAATTCTATTTTTGCAAAGAACATAATTACTAAGTTTCATAAGAATCCGTTTATTTTTCCAGAAGTTGTAACCGTTTGTGGATTTTTTTTTTGGGTCATTCCGTAATAATTAAACGTTTTTTTTTCATAAATTTGTATTTTTTTCGACTTTAAAGGCGAAATTTCATTGCAAAATTATAAATACCAAGTTTCACAAAGATCCGTTAATTTGTTTAGAAGTTATAACCGTTTTTTTAAAAATTTTTTTTTGGGGTCATTCCGTAATAATTTTGCATTTTTTTTTCTTCAAAATTTGAATTTTTTTCGCCTTTAAATAATGTTATTCTTTGCAAAGAACATAACTACCAAGTTTCGTAAGGATCCCTTAATTTATTTTGAAGTTATAACCGTTTTTTTGAATTTTTTTGGGGGTCATTCCGTAATAATTATACGGTTTTTATTTCGAAATTTGCATTTTTTGTAATAAAACAATTCTACTTTTTGCAAAGAACATAATTACCAAGTTTCATAATAATCCGTTTATTTTTCTAGAAGTTGTAACCGTTTTTGGATTTTTTTTTTTTGGGGTCATTCCGTAATAATTAAACGTTTTTTTTCATAAATTTGTATTTTTTTCGACTTTAAAGGCGAAATTTCATTGCAAAATTATACTAAGTTACACCAAGTTTCACAAGGATCCGTTAATTTGTTTAGAAGTTATAACCGTTTTTTAAAAAATTTTTTTTGGGGTCATTCCGTAATAATTTTGCGTTTTTTTTCAAAATTTGAATTTTTTTCGCCTTTAAATGATGTTATTCTTTGCAAAGAACATAACTACCAAGTTTCGTAAGGATCCTTTAATTTCTTTTGAAGTTATAACCGTTTTTTTGAATTTTTTTTGGGGTCATTCCGTAATAAATGTGCCCTTTTTTTCTAAATTTTTTATTTTTTCACTTTTAAAGGAAATCATTCACTGTAACGTAATCTATGAAGTGTATTTTTGGGTATAAAAAAAAAATTCAGTAATATAGAAAATTACTTCAAAGAAAATTATGTAAAAAAAAAAATATGAATTCGGCTAAAAGAACCAATTCTCACTAATTCAAAATTTAAAGAATAACAATTCAGAGAGTACATATATATATACTCGAGTGTTAAACACATATAGGGAAAGATAAGAAATGGCGGTGCCGGGATCGAGCGTCGCGGCGCCAGCGTCGCGCACCCTCTCGTATATATATATATATATCTATATATATTTATGTATAACCATCCCCTAAAGCCGTCAGCAGCGCCAAGTTTCATTTTTCCTCTCTCTCTCGTTCGGTGCTCTGGGTGTGGTCTATAACCCGAGAGGCTCGTTCGACTAGTGTTCAATTTCTGACAATTTCAATTGTTTTGTGAGAGTGTGTGAGTGTGTGTTATTTTTAAAACAAAAAAAAAACAAAAATTATTTCTATAATTCTCTCATTTTCCTCTCACGTGGAGAGGATCGGGAGTTGTGGTGGTGTGTGTGTATGTTCCTCTTGATCCGTCCCCTTCGCACCTTTCCATGCGTTTCCTTACAAAGGGATCCTGGACCAGGTGGAACGCAAATTAGTGAATAAATAAAAAAAAGAAGAAGAAGAAGAAAAGAAAATTCTTATTAAAATTAAGTGAGCGGACATTGTTTTTTTCTCCCCAGAAAGATAGAGAGAAAAAATGAATTAGTAAAGTATTTCACATAAAAAAGAAAAATGGAACAAAATTTTTGATTTTGATGAAGACTTTTCGGATATTTAGCCTAAAGAATCAAATGATTTTGATTGAGTCAATAATGCTCTGACAGGACGAAAAAAAGATCAGGGGGTGCGGAAGAAAGTTTACAAAGTAAGTCTAAGAAATTTTTTTTTTTTTTGAGAGATGAGTTTATTTTCGAAATTTTCATAATTTATATTTCGAAAATATTTTTATAAAATATATTTGTAAAAAATATTCCTAGAATGGTTAAATATTTAGTGTAAAAAACTTATATTTTAAGAGAAAAAAAAATATTTTTAAGTAAATATAATGATTTTTGCACATACGGGGTTGAATTATTGAAAAAAAAATTTATTTTTTTTTGAGAGAGAGTGAGAGAGAATGAGAGAAGGAGAAAGAGAGGTGCATTCTTACGCATTTCAAATTGTGCATGCGCAGAAAAGGTTTGCGTGTCTGCGATATCGAGTAACTTTGCTCTGAATGAGAAACCCTGTAGAATCGACAATCCCTGATTTCCCGGGTTTTCAGATATTCCTTCGAGGTGAAGGACGCCCGACCATCATTCATTTTTTTTTCTTTTTTTTTTTTTATCTACTTGAATGGAGTTGCATTTTTTTAAGTGAAAGCTTATATTATGCAATTACCCCTTTCTTTTTTTTTTAAAAAATATTTTATCATTTTTATTATTATTTCATTTTCTTGTTTTCAGAAAAAACAAAAATTTGAAAACCAAAAACGACAATTAAAAAGTGTTGCTGTTATTAAAAAAAAGAATATAATAACATTAAATAAAACTCTAAATTATAAAACTTGGAACAAAATTAAAATTATAAACTTCGAGCGAATTCGAAAAAACTCAAAAAATTCATATTTACATCTAGTAGGATTCGAACTCGCGACCCTCAATTTTGCAACCTGACGCTCTAACCACTAGCTAGCTAGCTATGTTAACAGGCGGCATTTATATATTTTTATTATTTTTTATCTAATTTATAAAGAAAAAATTGTATATAAAAAAATACTGTATAAAAGTATTAAAAAAATATTTAATTTAATGAAAATAAAACGTGAAAATTTCAACGTTTCCACCCCCCTTTTATCTCTTTGAGCCGCGCCCGAAACTCTTGCGTGTCTCCTGAAAATTTTTTTCTGAATCATGTACCATTTTTTTGTACAGTAACGAAATAAGAGACTTCATTTCCGTGAAGCTTCCGTATTGAGAGAAAAAAAACTCCTCTTAATCGTGACGAAAAGAGAAATAAACCCCCCCCCCCGTTACGAAAAATAACTTGTTCTATATTGGCAGAAAAAAAATTGTTTCTATTTATATTTAAAAGTGACCGAAAAATGCAAATGACCGAATAAACATAGAAAAAAAATTCGGACAAATTTTCCAATATTTCTCTTTGGTTATATTTGTATTTTTCGGTCAAATGTAGATTCGAAAATCATAAATAGGTAGAAAATCGAATTTTCTAAATGCTCGAATTACCAAAAGTTAGAATTTCTAACAGTTTGATTTTTAATCCGATCGAATTTCTAAATAAAAAAAAATTAGCGCCTTCATTTTTATTATTGGTTATGTTTGTTCGGTCAAAAAAGTACATTAAATAACAGAATTTTCATTTGTGGGAATTTTTAATATTACCAACTATTATTTTAATAGAATTCTCCTAAACGAATTTTAATTTTTGACCGAAAATTGCAAATGACCGAACAAACATAACCAAAAAAAGGTGTTTCGTTGCAATTTTTTAATAATTTAAAAAATCAAAAATCCAAAACTAATGGTAACTGTTCGAATTTTAAAAATTTGCGCTGAAATTTGATTCTAGGTTATGTTTGTTCGGTCAAAAATGAAAATTCGACCCTTTTGAAGAATTCCATTAGTAATAAATGAAAAACTAAAAATTCGAATAAAATGAAAATTTTAAATTAAAATTAAAGTATTTAAAAAATGAAACCTACGTTTTTTTGTGTGAAAATAATAATTTTTTTGTTTTGTGAATTTCAGGACTGGCAACGGTTTCGTTGGGAGATATCGAAACTGGCGGTGTTGCGTGGATCAGAAGGGACAGAGGTCAGGTATTGGGACAGAATAAGGATCGTGAGTCCTGGGGGAGAAAAAAGGGAAAAAGAAGTGAATATTGTTGGAGAACGTTGTTGGAAAACTGGCACCGTAATAGTGAATTTTGAAAATAAATCCGATCATCCACAACCCCCTGCTTTAATCAACTTTATTGAGCAAGGAATTTTCTTTATTTCTAAAAACTCGTAGCAATATATAAATATATATATTCATTTATAGATATATATATATATTTACAAAAATCGAGTGATTTATTTACACGTGACTAGAAAAAAAGCACGTGCGTCATGAACGAATTAGACAGTCTTCGCCAGGAGGCGGAAACTCTAAAAAATGCCATTAGGGTTAGTATTTATTTGAATATCTATTTTTTACTATATATGTATTTAAAAATTACTATTTATTTGCAAAAAAGTAATACTTTTTTATTACATACGTATTTTAATTGTATAAAATTAAACACTATTTTTAAATGAAAATTTCATTTTAAGTCTATTAATAAATTTTTATATAAAACAATTCTTAGTTCTAGAACGAAAAAAAAAATTTCCGCTTCAAAGAATTATTATTCATCTCTGCTTTCTATTTTGAGCCTTGGCAGCGTTTTTACACTGTGAAATTTTATTCATTATTTATTAACATTTTTTTTTTATTATTAACTTTTTTATTGAATGAAATTTTAATAAAACGTTTTTTTTTTTGTTTGATATTTTATTTTTATATATATACACGTGTATAAAGAGACAGTGCATCGGCACGAATAAATGGAGGGTGTGAGTGTTAAAAGGGGAGAAAACGAGGAAGCAAGAGAGAAAGAGAATGAGAGAGAGAGAGAGAGAGAGAGAAAGTAAGAGAGAGAATGTACTGGTGGTGTATTGATCAGAGAAGCGACGGTTATGCCGCGCCCTACTACCAACACCAACTTTTACCACCATCAAAAGAATGAGACTAGCACAAGTTTTTACAACCATGATGAATCATCAGCACAGTTAAAAAAAAATCCAACCTGTAAATAGTGGTGGAAAAATAAAACGTCGTCAGGTGGACAAGCTGTTTTCAAGGAATTCCCCCCTTCTAACCTAATTTTTAGCATCATCATTGACAGTTGCAAGGAGACTAATCAAAACTTGCATGAACTTTTTCAATTTCCTCGTTTCTTTTATTTATTTATTTTTTTTTATTGTACATAAAAAATTGTTCGAAAACCAGAAAAGACAATTAAAGAGTGTTATTGTTATTAAAAAAAGAATATAATAACTTTGAACAAAACTCTAAAATATAAACTACGAACAAATTCGAAAAAACTCGAAATTATCAAATTCAAACATAGTTAAAATAAAATATTTTTCCGTATATTTTCAATAAATAAATAATAATTAGATTTTTTCAAAATTAAAAAATGATAAAATATTTGAAAATTCGAATTATCAAAATATCAATTTTTTAAAAGTTTGAATTAACAAAAGATATAGTTTCTAAAAATTTTTATTTATAAAAATTCGAATTATTACTAGATTTGTCGGAAAATTTAATTTTCAAAAATTCGAATTATTAAAAGATAGAACTGTTAAAAATTTAGATTTCTATTTGATATAATTCGCGAATTATCAATAGATCGAATTTTTATTCAAAGGAATTTACGAATGTTCGTATTTTGAGAAATTCGAATAAATAAAAAAACGAATTTTTAAAAATTTTCTAAGTTTTAATATTATAAATTACTAAAGTATTGAATTTTTATTTATTAATAAATACGGGCAAGGTTCTTTTTTAAGAAAAACTTTTTTAAAATTGAATTCTCAAAAGTTCGAATTATTATTTGATTAAATTTCTAATTGTTCTAATTAACGAAAGATCGAATTTTAAATTGACCGAATTTCTTCATGTTCAAATTTCTAAATGTTCGAATAACCAAAAGATTCAATTTAAAAATTCTAATGTCTAATTGATTAAAAGTTTCAAATTTTTAAATTTTTAAAAGTACGAATTTTTATGTGATTTAATTTTGAAATTTTCGAATTACTAAAAGAACGATTTTATATTTGAGTAAATTTTTAAATGATCGAATTTTTAAAAGTTTAAATAAATAAAAGAGAAAATTGTTATATATTTTATTTTTTTAAAATTTTAATTGTTTAAATTACCAAAATATGAAATTTTTATTTGAACGAATTTCTTAAATATTCGAATTATCACAATATCGAATTTCTAAAAATTTAAATTTTTTACCTAATTTTTAAAAGTTTAAATAATTAAATAGTATCGAATTTTTAGACATTAAAATTATTAGAAAATCAAATAATCATAAGTTCAAATTTTTATTTAAACGAATTTCCAAATTTTTAAATTATCAAAAAAATGAATTATTAAATATTCGGAAAACAAAAAAATTGAATTTTTAAAAGTTACAATTTCTAATAGTACGAATTACCAAAGGTCAAATTTTTTAAAGTTCGAATTTCTAAAAGTACGGAATTTCCAAAGGGTAGAATTTTTGAAAGATTGAATAGTAAATTAATTTCTAAAATACCAATTTTTTCTTTTCTATAAGTACGAATTTTTATTTGATCAAATTTTTCCAATTATCAAAAGATTTAATTTTTATTTGTCTTAATTTTTAAATATTTGAATTTCTTAATGTTTGAATTCGAATTATCAAAGAATCAAATTTCCAAAAGTAAAAAAAAATTACAAATATTCGAAAAAACAAAATTTAGAATTGTTAAAAAAAAATTCTTATAACCAATTCATTTATGTTTAAAATGTTCGAATTTAAAAAAAAAATCAAAATTCTAAAAGTACGAATTTTTAAAAAGATCAAGTATTTAGAAATTCAAATTATAAAAATTTGTAATTTTCAAATAATTTAGTTTCTAAAATTTAGAATGACTAAAAAAAAATTTTAAAGATCAAATTTTTTTAATAATTATTTCATTTTATAAAAATCCTTTTTAATTATATAGAAGAATTTATTTAACGTTCAAAAAAATTTTTATTACATAGAGAAAATAAATTATGATTTTAGGATGCAAGAAAAGCAGCATGCGACACAGCATTGGTTCAAGCCACTTCAGGCATGGAACCAATTGGTCGAATACAAATGCGCACGAGACGAACACTTCGTGGCCATTTGGCAAAAATATATGCCATGCATTGGGGCAGTGACTCCAGGTAATTAACAATAAAAAAAAAAAACCCCCAAAAAAAAACTTTTCCACAATTGTTAAAAAAAAAAAAATACAAAAAAAACTTTATGTTGAATTGTTTTTTTTTTTAATTTCCTATATAGTTTAAAAAAATAATTTTATGAATAATTTGCATTTTTCAAATTTACAACTTTTAATTTTATGCTTTTCAATGGGGTAGTGACTCGAGGTAATTAAAAACGACTCCATTAAATTAGTGAATTAAAAAAAAAATATTTAGTTTATAGTATTTAGAAATTTTTTTTTATATATATATATATATATCACTTTTAATTTTAGCTTTAGAAAATTTTTTTTTTACAATATATATATTAATGTAGAGAAGAGAGTGTGTGTGTGTGTGTGTAAAAAATGAAAAATGATGTGAAAAATAATGTAATTTTTTGTTTTTTTTCTTCAAATTCCTTTTTTTTAGAAATTTGGTGAGCGCTTCACAAGATGGAAAATTAATTGTATGGGATAGTTATACCACCAATAAAGTTCATGCGATCCCACTTCGTTCCTCGTGGGTAATGACTTGTGCTTATGCACCATCTGGAAGTTATGTTGCTTGCGGTGGATTGGACAATATTTGTTCCATTTATAGTCTCAAAACAAGAGAGGGAAATGTTCGCGTTAGCAGAGAATTGCCAGGACATACTGGTTATTTATCATGTTGTCGATTTCTCGATGACAATCAAATTGTCACCAGTTCCGGTGATATGTCCTGGTAAGATTTTTTTTTTATTTTTCATATTTTTGAATTTAATTTGACAATTTTTTTTTTCCCACAAAAAAAAATTGCAGGCAAATTTTGTCTTTTATTTTAATTAAAAATTCGATCTCAATTTAAAATTAATAAAATAAAATAATACAATAAAATTAATTTTACTATTTTACTAATATTTAAATAATAAAATTATTATTTATTATTTAAATATTTAATTATTAAATTTAATTTCGTAGAAGAAAGAAGCAAAAATTTGAAGGTTATGTGTATGATCGTTTTACAAATTTGATTAAAAATTTCGTATTTTAATTATGTAAAATTAGTTTTTATTTTTCAATTCAAAATTCAAAGAGAGTTTTTATTTTTTTTTTACTCACAAACTATTTATCATTTTTTTTTTTAAATATAAAACTTTCATAAACATAACCTTAAATTTTTACAAGTAAATCAATTTTTTACTTTTTATATTAAAGTTTAAATTTTATTATTATTTTCATTTTTTTTTTATTATATTAGAAATAAATTTGTATGAAAAAAATGTGAAAATAATAATTGATTTAACTGTTTTTTTTTTTTATTATTAGTGCATTGTGGGACATTGAAACTGGACAGCAATGTACTTCGTTCATTGGTCACACGGGAGATGTAATGTCTCTTTCGCTTGCACCTGACATGCGCACCTTCGTTTCCGGTGCTTGTGACGCGAGTGCAAAATTATGGGACATTCGTGAGGGCTCTTGCAAACAAACTTTCCCGGGACATGAAAGTGACATTAACGCTGTCACGGTAAGTTTTTTTTTTGTTTCAAAAAAAAAAAAAAAAAATTACCAAAATTACAAAAATTACCAAAATTACAAAAATTATATAAAATTATTAAAAAAATAACAAAATTACTAATCAGAAAAAAATTACTATTTACAAAAATTAGACCACAAAAAAATATGACACAAAAAATTACTAGTGCCAAAATGTTACTAAAATAGAAAAAAATAACTACAACACAAAAAATTACTAAATATAAAAAAGACACAAAAAATACTATATATACAAAAAATTACTAATTACAAGGGAAATTACCAATTCCAAAAAAATTGCCTAATTACAAAAAATTCATTTTTAAGTTGTTCCTAAATAGAAAAAAAATTACTAATTCCAAAAAATCATTAAAATACACAAAAAATTACTAAGAAAAAAATTACTAATTCCAATATATTGCTAAAAGACAAAAAATTACAAAGAAAAATTACTAATTCCAAAAAATTACTAAAATACAAAAATTACTAATTATAAAAAATTACTAAAATACAAAAATTACTAATTATAAAAAATTACGATAACACAGAAAATTACTAAAATACAACAAAGTATTGAATACAAAAAATTACCATTACCAAAATATTACTAAAATATACAACAAATTACAAAGAAATTACTAGTTCAAAAAAATTATTAATTCCAACCAAAAATAACTACAACACAAAAAATTACTAATTCCAAAATATTACTAATTTTAAACAATTACAACAAAAATTACTAGTTACATAAAAAAATTGCTAATTACAATAAATTTATTTTTTAATTTTTTCTTACTACGAGACAAAAAATTACTAATTTCAAATTATTGCTAAATTACAAAAAATTATTGCTTATTGTAAGATTCAAAAAATTATAAAAAATTATTGAGAAAAAATTACTAATTCCAAAATATTGCTAAAATACAAAAAATTAGTACGACACAAAAAAATTACAATGAAATTACTAATTCCAACAAAAATTACTTAGACACAAAAAATTACTAAATTCCAAAAATTTACGAAAATACAAAAAAAAATTACCAAAAAATAGAAGAAAGTACTAATTACAAAAATTACTAAGAAAGAAAATTACTAATTCCAAAATATTACTAAAATTTAAAAAATTACTAATTCCAACAAAAATTATTACAACACAAAAAAATTACTAATTTCAAAATATTACTAATTATAAGAAATAATTAGTATCGTAAAATTACTAATTCTAAAAAATTTCTTAAGACACAAAAAATTGAAAATTACAAAAAAATGACTAATTCCAAAATATTGCTAAAATACAAAAAATTACTGCTTATAAAAAATAAACTAAGATTCCAAAAATTACAAAGAAAAAGCACTAATTCCAAAAAATTACTAAAATACAAAAATTACTAATTATAAAAAATTACTACAACAAAAAAATTACTAGGATTCAAAAAATTACAAAAAATTTTGAGAAAAAATTACTAATTCTAAAATATTCCTAAAGTACAAAAAATTACAACGACACAAAAAAATGACAATTTAATTACTAATTCCAACAAAAATTACTTAGACACAAAAAATTACTAAATTCCAAAAATTTACGAAAAAAAAGAAATTGCAAATTACAAAAAAATTGTTTTTTCAGTTTTTTAAACACAAAAAAATGACTAATTACAAAAAAAAATTTGATTTTTCAGTTCTTCCCCAATGGTTATGCTTTCGCGACGGGTTCAGATGACGCGACATGTAGATTATTCGATATTCGAGCAGATCAAGAATTAGCCATGTATAGTCACGATAATATCATTTGTGGAATCACAAGCGTAGCTTTTAGCAAAAGTGGAAGATTGCTTTTGGCCGGTTATGATGATTTCAATTGCAATGTTTGGGATTCAATGAAAACCGAACGAGCGGGTAAGAATTCTAATTTCTTATTAAATTATAATTTAATTTTTAATTTCAATTTTTATTATCAATTTCTGCATGAAATGGTTTAAAATAAATAATTAATAATAATTATTATATTTTTGTTAAATTATAATGAATTATTATTATTATTATTAATTTTTTTTTTTTTTTTTCAATTTGCAGAAAATTTATTTCAAATTTTAAATCTTTTGCAATTTTAAGTTATTATTATTATTATTATTATTATTATTATTATTACTAAACTATACTAATTTTTTTATAACTTGAGAAGAGAAAAAATTTTCTCCTTGGTCCTTCTCGGGCAAAAAACCAAAAATTCTATTATTATTATTATTATTATTATTGTTTTTCCTTTTTTTTAAAAAAAAAAAAAATAAAACTGATTTTCAATTGCAAATTACAGGAATTTTGGCGGGACACGATAATCGAGTTTCTTGTTTGGGTGTAACGGAAGATGGAATGGCAGTAGCGACAGGATCCTGGGACTCGTTCCTTCGTATTTGGAACTAAAACTTTGGATCTTAAATTTTTTGCCATATACAAAGAAAAAAAAAAAAAATGGGGAAAAAAATCCTGCACTTCAATCTACCATCAGCTAACGATGAGCGCGATGATTAACGAGAAAAAAAAGCAACAACAACAATCTGGTTTAACGATCCACTAAATAAATCAAATTCCAAGAAAAAAAGAATTTATCAATTCCTCGATCCTGTGACAAAAAAAAAAAATTAAGAAGCAAATAGGATAATAATTACAAAAAAAAAAGTGGCGTATACCAAAAAAAAAAAAATTGACAAAAGAAAAGAAATAATCGAGGAAATTGAAGAAGCGAGGGAAGGTAAAAAATGAAAAAAAAATTAGAATATCAAAGTGTGAAAATGACATTTAAAGGAAACAGAAGCCAAAATCATCATCATAATCATCATTTTTCTTCCTCTTCATTTTCTCCCTTTTCTGATATTGAATTTTTTTTTTTTTTTTTTTCTTTTTTTTGAAAACATGCAAAACAGTTCCAAATAAAAAATAAAAGAAAACGACGAGGAAGAAAAATCGGCTCATTTGACGCAAAAATAAATCTAAAAAAAAGAATCTCCGTAGATCGATTTAGGTTTTTTCTACTGACTCGAAAGCAGAGTCGCACTATTGCGAACGAAAACGATCACTCGCACGCACCAAATCACAATTAAAAAAAAAAAAAATAAAGAAACAAACAAAAATAAGAAGCACAAGGCTGGAGAGTTAAATAAATGGTATACGAAAGCAGCAGCGTGAGGAAAAAAAAAAAAGGTGGATTAGAAAAATAAAAGAAAATAAATTGATTAGGGAAAAGAAATGCAAAAAAAAACAAAGCGCACCTTTTGTCATTACATGAAATAAAAAAATGTATAGTATACATTAAAAAAGGAAACAAAAAAAAAAGTGGCGATTATTCCTTAAATTTCCAATATTCGGTGTTTCGTCAAAAAAAAACAAAAAAACAAAAAAGAATCAGAGGAGGAAGAGGGAGCATAAAAATTCATAGCACAAAATCTCTCATTTTTCTCTGAATCGGAAAATAATGCCAAAACTTGCACACACGCACTGCGTTAAAAAAAAATAAACGTTGAGTTTCATGAATAAGCGTCCAACGCACATTTTAAGAGAGAAAAAAAAATTAATTTATGAAACTCAATGTATTGTAATTTAATCGTTATTTAATTATTATTATTTTTCAGATTTTTTTTTGCCATAGGCCTCTCGCCAAATGAGTGAAAAAAAATAATTTTTCTTTTTTCAAAAAAATCCTCGCGAAAGCGACACAAAATAAATAATAATACTATGAAGAAGAGAGAAAAAAAATTTCTTCTTTCTGCGGTTTTTCGACCGTGACAAAAAAAAAAAAAATTAATGTAACGTAATAATCGTTTAGTTTGTAGCCTCTCTCTCGACCACTTTTTCTCTCGGTCAAAAAAAAAAAAAAAAGAAAGAAAGAAAAGAAACGGGAAAATTTATTTTTTTTTAATTTTTCTTTTAATTTACTTTTCGAAAAACAAAAAACAATGTTTCCCCTACTTTTAATCCAAAGATTTTCTCCCCCCACATTTCCCTTCTCTTTTCTTCTTTTCCCGAAAAAAAATTAATTTTCCATTTCGAAAATTTTCTAGAATAACAGAAAATTCATTTCTCTTCCCCTTTTTTCTAATCCCTCGTCCTCCCCCCAGCCTTTTAAAAAAAAAAAAAAAAAAAAAAATTCTTTTTTACTTTTACGTCGAATAAAAGTTTAAAAAAAAAAAAAAAAAAAAAACTGTGTATGCATTTAAAAAAAAAAAAAATTAATAATAATTATTATTATAATATTAATATTAACGATGATTGTAATTTATAATATTTAATATATAAGTACATAAAAAAAAGGAGGTATTCGAAAAGTACAACATTCACGTCACAAAAAAAACCAACATTGAAAAAATGTTCCACGACGTGGAAAAATTGTGTTTTCCGAGAAGTGAAGAAAAGGCAACCTTTTTTTCAAAAAAAACTCTTCTATGGGGAAAAATTCGGTGAAAAAAAAAAATAACCTCCAGTGGCACAGACTGCATTGGGATCCAAAAAAAATACTTTTTTGTCGAACTTAACAAAAATGTTCGCTACAAATATTTGTAATCGTTTTTTGATAACTTTCTTCTACTAACACCGCTTGTCACCTATTTACTATTACAAAATATTATGGTTTTTTTTTTATAGCCGACCAAAAAAAAAGGAGAAAAAAAAAAAAAATGTTCCTCCAAAAAAAAACAAATATTTCTATGTACCAAAATATTCTTGTTATCCGCTTCTCGGTAATCAAGAAAAAAAAAAAACCCCCCCGGTTATTTCCAAAAAAAAAAAAATTGCACTGAAAAAAATATATAGAAGCCAAATTTCCGAAAAAAAATAAAAATAAGGAGGGAAGCATTATTAAATCGAGGAAATCTGTGTTTTTTTATATTTCCGTGGTCTCGGAAGAAGGCTTTCTCTTTTTTGTACCTTGTGAGACCTGGAGCCTCTGAAGCCACGTGTTTTTATTGATTTGTACGAGAAAAAAAAAATATATATATAAATAAATTATATAGTCAAAGAAAAATCAGAACGTCGACGAGTTCTAAGCAAAAATCAACGTTATTACGTCTCTAGTCATAGTAAAGCATAAAAAAAAAAAATTAAAAATAAAAAAAAAATGAATAAAAAAAAAAATGGTTACAATAGTACGTATGATAAAATAAAAAAAAAAATTTATTAAATATCCCATTTTTTGAATGATAATAACATGATTTTTGAGAATGACTGGAACAGCTGTATGGTGTCTATCTATAGCGCTATATAATCATGTTTTATTATTTATTTAATATCATGTTTTTTTTTGTTTTTTTTTTCTATTGGGAAAAAAAAAATTCTTGTATCGATCGCGACGAAAACATTGTGACAACAGGACTTGAGGCGAGTGAAGGGAAAGAGAAAAAAAAATGATATAATTATGAGAGACTTTGGGAACCGTCGTGAAGAGTATAAAATGAATAAAAGTACTTTTAAAAAATTAAAAAAGATGCCTTTTTTGCATCATGTTTTTTTAATTTCCTTGCTTTCCCGAAGAAAAAGGTTTTATTGAAAACCAGAAAAGACAATTACAGAGTGTTACTGTTATTAAAAAAAAGAATATAATAACTTTAAACAAAACTCTACATTATCAACTTGGAACCAAAAATTATTAAATTCAAACAAAGGTAAAATTATAATAAAGATTTTACATTTGTTAATGTAAAAAAAAATAATTTCATTTAATTTCAAGACAGTCCATTTCAATAATAAATAATAATTAAATTAAATAATTAATAATATAAAACTAATTAAATGAATAATAATATTGACAGTTTTTTCTATTATTTCGTTTATTAATTATTTAAATCGAATTCTAGTCAATATTTTCCATATCAGTATATACCTTTAAAAAAATCAAAAAATTCATAATAAATTTGTTTTTTTTTTAAATTTTAAATACTAAAAGTAGAGAAGCAAAAAACAATTATTTTTCTGTGAAGATAAATCTTTATATATTTTGTTTAACAAAAAAAAAGAATTCTTTTTTATAAAAACCTTTTAGGAAAATTTTTTCTCTTCCGTATCAATAGAAACAACATCGATTTCTTCTTCTTCTTCATTTGATGGAATAATTAATTGATCGCCAGAAGCATTTTTTAACTCTAATAATGAATAATAGTTTTCCTTAATTGGGAGACCATATTTATTTTCTGAAATTTCCAGATTTATTATTATTATTATTAATTATTATTTAGTATTAGTTATTATTTATTATAAATTGTTTCTTATTATTATTAATTTAATTAATTATTATTAATTATTTATTTATTATTTCAAATCGGAAAAAAATATGAATCAGTAAAAATTATTTAATTACCTTTTAATAGAAAATTGTTATCTTGAATTATTAATTCTTTCTTTGAAATTACTTTTTTAATTTTTTTATTTTTTCTCCCATTTTTGAAAATTATATTTTTTGTTCCTTTTGAAAAAATTGAATGTTGTTTCATTTTTCTTGGACGTATTTTTCTCAATAATTTTTCATTCAATTTTTCTTGTGTAATGATGAAAATTGATTTTTTCTTGAAAATTTGTTGATTTACATTTTTTTCTTTTAATTTATTCTCCTGATTTTCTATTATTTTGTCATTTTTCTTTAGAGATATTTTTTCCGATTTTGAAATTTCTAAATTTCCCTCTTTTTTATTGTCATCAACTGATGATAGTATTTGAATTTTTTTTTCATTTTCTGTCTCTTTTATTGAATAAATTTCTTCATCCTTTTTATAAAATAGAAATTAGTACAATTATATTTTAATTTTTAAAAATATATTTTAATTTTTGAAAATATATTTTAAATTTACACCTTTGTTTTCCAAGGTAGAAGAATTTCTCTCATCGTGTCTTGGTGATTTGTTTCATCAGAATCTTCCTCCATTTCTTTTGCAGACTCCTCTTCTACTTCTGGACCACTAATTGTAATCACATCAGAAATATTTTTGTCTTTCAATTTTTCCTTTTCTATTTGTTTCGATTTTTTTTTGCTAATGAGAGCTTTAAAAAAAAATAAATAAAATCAATTAGATAAGAATTTTCATTTTTCGAAAAAAAATTCTCTTACCAAGAACACTTTCATTTATTCTATTTTGTTCCTCTTGAATGAGTCGTTTTCTTTCAAAAGATTCCGCTTCAGGACCACCTTTTTTCCTGAGATTATAGGTTATGTTTATGATACATTTCACACGTAAGAGAATAATAAAAAAAAATGAAGTGGTTAGCAAAAAAAAGGGTTGTTTGATATTAATGATGAATAATAATAATAACAACAAAAAGAGTGTTTAATATTAATAATAAAAAATAAAATTATAGGTTATGTTTATGATAGATTAAAGAAAAAAATTGTAGGTTGTTTATGATAGTTCAGAGAAAAAAATTTCTAGGTTATGTTTATGATAGTTTAAAGCAAAAATTTATAGGTTAGTTTATGATAGTTTAGAGCAAAAAATTCTAGGTTATGTTTATGATAGTTCGGAGCAAAAAGTTATAGGTTATGTTGATGATAGTTTAGAGAAAAAAAATATTGTAGGTTATGTTTATGATAGTTTAAAGAAAAAAATTCTAGATTATGTTTATGATAGTTCGGAGCAAAAAGTTATAGGTTATGTTTATGATAGTATAGAACAAAAAATTGTAGGTTATAATTATGATAGTTTGGAGTGAAAAGTTATAGGTTATGTTTATGATAGTTTAGAGCAAAAAAAAATTGTAGGTTATGTTCATGATAGTTTGAAGCAAAAAATTATAGATAACATAACCTATAATTTTTTGCTTCTTAGGTTCCATTTCTTCATATTATTTCTTTTACATACCATGCTTCTGCACAAGCACGATCACGAGGAAATACTGGTCTTTCGTCCAGGTGCATTAAATTCCTACACTTTAAGATCAAAGTTTTACGATACATTTTAATTGATTTAATGACTGGATTTCCCGTCAATGTCAATACTCTTAAACATTTGATGTTTCCTAAAATCTAAAAAATAAATTTATACTCAGTTTTTTAATTTTTTATTAATTTTTCTAATAATAATTATTATAATTTTTATGCTGTGGTTGACTTTACTTCGAGTACATCCAACGTTTCTATTTTGTTGTGTGATAAATCTAATATTGAGAGATTCTCAAGTGACTCCAATTCTTCAATATCTTCTCTTTCTTCGAGAAAATTATGTGAAATATTGAGAGTATTTAAAAATTTCAAACTATCTACAAATTAGAAAAATTTATAAATAATTTTTTTTTTTTTGCATTTGTACAAACAGTAGAAAATTAAATTAAAAAATAAATAAATCTGACGCGCTCTGAAAAAAAGGAACATTAGAAGCAAAAAAAAAAATTGTAGGTTATGTTTTAAAATTTTAAAGTAAAAATACACAAAGATGATCAACTTTCAATACAAATTTAATATTTAAGTTTTCATTCAAAATATTCAATAAAAACTGTTTTTAAGTTTAAATAAAAAAAAAGAAATTTTTAATTAAAATAAAACTATCGTAAACATAACCTATAATTCATTTGCTTCTAAGGTCCCTTTCTTCAGAGCGCGTCACAAATTATTATTAATAATTAATTTATCATAATTATCAATTAATTAATTTATTATTAACTATTATAAATTTATTTAATTTATTTATTAAAATTAATAATTACCAAGATTTTCTATTTTCTTAATCATATTGTGCGATAAATTTAAACTATCCAATTTCAATAAATATTCAAGATTTTCGATTTTTTTTATTAAATTATTCTGTAGATAAAGGCTCTTTAATTCTGTCTGGTTTTCAAGATTTGCTATCTCATGAATACCATTATTCTCCAGCCAAAGACATTTTAGACCAGTGTATGTTTCTAAATTTTCAATAAACGAAAATCCTAAAAAAAAAAATTCATACCATTAAATATTGATTATCAAAAAAAAAGCAAAAACATACCATTTAACTGTTTAAAAAAATAATTTATTTAATTTAACCTTTAAAATGCAAATATAAAACATCATTTAAATGTGGAGTTTGATATAATTTTTGTTCCTTGCAATGTTTTCTGAGATATTCTTCTGTCATTCTAAAAAAAAATTAATATTTTTAAATGTTTACAAAACAAAATTTTCATTAATGAAATTATTATTAGAAAAAAATAATTTTCGCTATGAAATTATTTGAAAAAATAATTTTGAAAAATTAATTATTATTATTTATTTTTATGTTATTATTTTTTAAATTATTTCAAAATTAATTTTGAAAAATAATTTTTTTCCAAAAAAAAATTAATATTGATACCTTATTCCATGAATTTTTGGATCAAAATCGTATAATTTGCCTTTGATTAAATTTTCCTTTTTTTGTAACGATAATTTACTTAATTTATGGGCAATAATTTCCAAATCATCATCATCATCATCATCGATTGTTTCTTGATTAGCATTATTTTCGCAAGATTTGTTTTTAACAATATTTTCCTCGTTTTTTTCTTGATTATTTATTTTTAAATTTTCACTAGATTCATTATTATTTTCTTTATAATTTTCATTTTTATTTTTATAATCATTTTCTTTAATATTTTCTTTTGCATTTTCATTATAATTTTCTTTAATATTTCCATTATCATTTTCTTTGATATTTTCTTTATAATTTTCATTTTCTTTGATATTATCATTATCATTTTCTTTGATATTTTCTTCATAATTTTCAATTTCTTTGATATTTCCGTTATCATTTTCTTTATAATTTTCATTTTCTTCGATATTTTCATTATTATTTTCTTTGGAATTTTCTTCAAAATTTTCTTTTATATTTTCATCATCATTTTCTTTGGTATTTTCTTTAAAATTTTCATAATCATTTTCTTTAATATTTTCCTTTGCATTTTCATTATAATTTTCTTTGATATTTCCATTATCATTTTCTTTGATATTTTCTTTATAACTTTCATTTTCTTTAATATTTTCTTTATAATTTTCATTTTCTTTGATATTTTTATTATCATTTTCTTTATAATTTTCTTTTATATTTCCATTATCATTTTCTTTATAATTTTTATTTTCTTTGATATTTTCTTTATAATTTTCATTATTATTTACTTTGGAATTTTCTTCAAAATTTTCTTTTATATTTTCATATTCATTTTCATTTGTATTTTCTTTATAATTTTCATAATCATTTTCTTTAATATTTTCCTTTGCATTTTCATTATAATTTTCTTTGATATTTCCATTATCATTTTCTTTGATATTTTCTTTATAATTTTCATTTTCTTCGATATTTTCATTATTATTTTCTTTGGAATTTTCTTCAAAATTTTCTTTTATATTTTCATTATCATTTTCTTTATAATTTTCTTTTATTTTTTCATTATCATTTTCTTTAATATTTTCTTTGGTATTTTCTTCAAAATTTTCTTTTATATTTTCATTATCATTTTCTTTATAATTTTCTTTTATTTTTTCATTATCATTTTCGTTAATATTTTCTTTGTTATTTTCTTTGACATTTTCATTATCATTTTCTTTGGCATTTCCATTATCATTTCCATTATTATTTTCTTTAGTGTTTTCATTATCATTTTCTTTGGTATTTTCTTGAGTATTTTCATTATCATTTACTTTGGTATTTTCTTTTAAATTTTCAATATCATTTTCTTTATCAATTTCCTCTTTCAATTGATTTATTATTTTATCATTTATCAAAAAATCTTTATAATTAATTTTTCCATTTTCCAAATTATCATAAAAAATTTTCATTTCATTTTTCTCTTTTTCTAAATAAAAATGTTTTTCACTATTTTTATTTATCATCAAAATTTCATTTTCATTATCACTTTTACTTTCCATTAAAATATCTTCTTCATTATCATTTTTTTCATTTTTACTTTCATTATCCATTTGCCTTTCTATTTCTTCGTCGTTCTCTTCAATCTTTTTCATTTCACATTCTTTAAATTCCACACAAAGATTTTTTAAAGCATTCATTTTTTCCTCCTCTATTGTTTTTTTTAATAATTCAATTTTTTTCAAAGTTTCACAAATTTCTTCTTCATTTAAAATTGAATCCTCATCTTCCATTATTTTTGCCAATTCTTTATTTTCATGAAATTCCATTTTTTTATTTTTATTAATTATCAAAAATTGATGAAAATTTTCATCATTTTTATTTGATGATAAATTTTTAATTTTTTTATTTGAATAATTTTTCAAATTTGTTGGTAAATAATTATTATCTATTTGTGAAAAATTATCATCATCATCATCGTTATTTTGTGGAAAATTCATATTTTCCATCCAAGTTGTTTCGAATTCAAAATTTTTTCTGTTATTTTTGTTTTTTTCGGCTTGAAAAATTTCTCGAATTTTCACATCCTCATTAAATGCATTTTCCATTTTCCACAATTCATTTTTATCAATAATTTCCATTTTTTGTTTTGTTAAAATATTCATTTCTTCTAATTCGTCGAAATTTTCCATTTTTTTCTGCGTTAAAAAATTAATTTTTTCTAATTCATCAAAATTTTCATTTTCCATTTTTTGCTGCATTAAAAAATTAATTTCTTTTAATTCGTCAAAATTTTCATTTTCCATTTTTGGAAATTTATTTTTATCAATAATTTCCATTTTTTGTTTTGTTAAAAAATTCATTTCTTCTAATTCGTCGAAATTTTCCATTTTTTGCTTCGTTAAAAAATTAATTTTTTCTAATTCAACAAAATTTTCATTTTCCATTTTTTGCTTCGTTAAAAAATTAATTTTTTCTAATTCATTAAAATTTTCATTTTCCATTTTTTGCTGCGTTAAAAAATTAATTTCTTTGAATTCGTCAAAATTTTCATTTTCCATTTTAGAAAATTGTTCCAATTCATTGAATGAACAATATTTATCAATAACATTTTCTCGTTTATCATCTAAAAGACATTTTAAATGATCGTTAATTCTTTTTTGACAATTAAGAGCTTTTTTCATTTCATCAACTTCTTTCATTAATTTTCTCGTCATTAATTCACTTTCTAAAAGTTCATTTAAACATTTATTTTCATCATCATCATCATCATCATCATCATCATCATTATTATTATCATTATTTTTTGCAAAAATTTCATTTTTACTTTCAATATATTCAAAATCATAAAAATCATAATTATTAAGTTGATATTCTGTTTTTGTATTTAAACGATTTATTTCTTCAATTTCTTCTTTTAAATTTAATTTAATATTTTTTTTCTCATTAGAATTATTGCACATAATTATTTCTTCAATTTCTTCAGCTTGACTTCCGGATTCAGCGTCCCATACACGTAAAAATTGATAATAATCATCGCGTTGTTTATCTTCATCTAAATTAAAATCAGAAGATGATGTTGATGATGATGAATTATAATTTGATGATGATGTTTTTTTTAAATTTAATTCAGCATTCTTTAAATCTTCCAAATTTTTTAATAATTTTTGTGTCATTTCTTCAGTGTCAATAATATCTTGCTCTAATCGTGATGAAAATGAACATTCACCGGGACTTGATGAAAAACAATCTTGAAAAATCTATCAAAAAAAAAGAAAAGAAAAAAATTAATTTGCTTTCATTTTTATTTATAATTTTGTAAAAATACATTTTTAGTTTATTTTATTTCAAGAAGTAAAAAAATAAATAATAATAATAATAATACAAAATATAAATAGAATTTTAAACAACAATTATAGGTTATGTTTATGATAGTTTGGAGTTAGAAAATAGAAAATAATAATAATACGAAATAAAACAAAAATATATTTAAAGAGATACATTTTAGGTTATGTTTATGATAATTTGGAATTAAAAGTAATAATAATAACAATATTAATACAAAATGTAATTATAAAAAAATTATAGGTTATGTTCATGATAGTTTGGAGTTAAAAAAATAATAATAATAATACAAAAATATAGTTATAAAAAAAATTTTAGGTTATGTTTATGATAGTTTTGAGTTAAAAATAATAATAATACAAAATATGTTTAGAGAAAAAAATTTAGGTTATGTTTATGATAGTTCGGAGTTAAAAATAATAATAATAATAATAATAATAATACGAAATAATACAAAAATATATTTAAAGAGAAAAATTTTACGTTATGTTTATGATAATTTAGAGTTAAAAATAATAATAATAACAATATTAATACAAAATGTAATTATAAAAAAAATTATAGGTTATGTTTATGATAGTTTTGAGTTAAAAATAATAATACAAAATATGTTTAGAGAAAAAAATTTTAGGTTATGTTTATGATAGTTCGGAGTTAAAAATAATAATAATAATACGAAATAATACAAAAATATATTTAAAGAGAAAAATTTTAGTTTATGTTTATGATAGTTTGGAGTTAATAATAATTAATAATAATAATACAAAAATATAGTTATAAAAAAAAATATTAGGTTATGTTTATGATAGTTTTGAGTTAAAAATAATAATAATACAAAATATGTTTAGAGAAAAAAAATTTAGGTTATGTTTATGATAGTTCGAAGTTAAAAATAATAATAATAATAATAATAATAATAATACGAAATAATATTACGAAATAATACAAAAATATAATTATAGAAAAAAATTACTGAAACTAAATATTTTTTTTTTGTGTTTTTATAATAATTACAATTTTTTTTTGTACCTGATCATCAGAAGATTGACTTCTATTTTCTTCATCTAAATGAGAAAATTTACTTATTTTATTGGCAATTATTTCCTGATGAAATTCATTTTCATCAGAAGTGTTACTGTCATTAAAATTGTTTGCCGTCGCCATATTGCTGGGGTAAATTTTTTTTATTTGCAAAAAGTCTGATACAATTCCTTTTTTTTTTTGACAATTATATATATATATATTTTTTTTAAATCTAATTTTTATGAATAAATGGAAAATAAAATATTTAAATTAAAAACAAAAAAAAACTTCTTCTTTTTCTTCTTTTTTTTACAAGGAAACAATTCTCTCTCAATGCGATAAAATTATTGACTTGCGTAAGTTGCGAAACGAAAATGAAGTCAGCTTCGTCATAGCAACGAACGTCACCCATTTATTTGTTTAGTCAATTTTTGGAATTAATTTTTAAACTATTTTTTATCACATGTATATATATATATTATATTTTCTATGTGAAAAAAAATTTCCGTAATCGTTTAAAAAATTAATTTTTAGGATAAAAAAAAAGTAAAATTCAAAATTTTTATCACTGATATTAAAAATAAATAATTAGATAAGAAAGTAAAAAAAAATTATAGATTATGTTTATGATTGTTTGAAGTTCAAAAATATATCCGGTTTTATTTAACGTAATGAAGACAAATATATTTAATCTTCTTTGTGTATTTTTGGTCAAAAAGTATCATAAACATAACCTACAATTTTATTTTAATAATCAAAGTAAAACTATCATGAACATAACCTATAAATTTTTTTTCTTCAAACTATCATTAACATAAACTACAATTTTTTACTCTAAAATAAATTACACTTTTTTGTTCTACACTATTATAAACATAAGCTGCAATTTTTTGCTCTAAACTATTAAAAACATAACTAATAATTTTTTAATCAACAAAAACTATCGTAAACATAACCTACAACATTTTATAATAAAGGTAAATCTATCATAATCAAAGCTTGGAGCAAAAAAATTATAGGTTATGTTTATGATAGTTTGGATCAAAAAATTGTAGGTTATGTTTATGATAGTTTGGATCAAAAAAAATTATATTTTATGTTTATTATAGTTTCCCCTTGATGGAAAAAAAATTATAGGTTATGTTTGTGATAGATTAGAGCAAAAAAGTGGAGGTTATGTTTATGATAGTTTGGATCAAAAATAATTATAGATTTATGTTTATTATAGTTTCACCTTGATTAAAAAATTATAGGTTATGTTTATGATAGTTTGGAGCAAAAAATTGGAGGTTATGTTTATAATAGTTTTACCTTGATGGAAAAAAAATTATTGGTTATGTATATTTTAGTTTCACCCTGATTAAAAAATTATAGATTATGTTTATGATAGTTTGGAGCAAAAAATTGGAGGTTATGTTTATAATAGTTTTACCTTGATGGAAAATATAATTATAGGTTATGTTTGTGATAGTTTAGAGCAAAAAAGTAGAGGTTATGTTTATGAGAGTTTGGTGCAAAAAATTGGAGGTTATGTTTATGATAGATGTAAACGAACAAATTGTAGGTTATGTTTATGATTGAAAACACACATTGAGGATAAAAATACAAATTTTTGCCTTTATTGCACAGAAAATAAACATTAATTTTGATGTTACACATATATAAGTAAAAAAAATTTTTTAAATTCATTTAATTCAGATTTAAAACGATCATAAACATAACCTATATTTTTTTCTCATTTTCGGTTTCTTTCTTCACGGCCTATCACATATATAAATGTTCCATTCTTAATTTTCATACTTAAAATGAGAAAAAAAAATCAGATTAAAATGGGTATTCAGTAGAATTGAAGATGACGGATATGAATACACCATCTGCCGATTTTAAATTCAAAGTATATTCAAAATTCAAATGCGATTCCGCTTCTGCCACACCACCCCCGCTTTATTCGCAATGGCACGCGCGAGATTCAGAATCTCTTTTGTTTCGGATGAACAAAAAAAAAAAAAAAAAAAAAAGAGATTGAGAGAAAGAGTGAGAGAAAAAAAAGGCGAATAAGATACACCCACTAAAAAATTTGCTTTTCAAAAATCTTAACCTCGCGCGAGTTGAATTCCAGCTGGAAATATATAATATGCCTACATACATTTGCGCTTCAATTACATAATCTCTACTTTTTTTTGTCTCTTGATAGCAATCTGCACAGACTGAAAGAAAAAAAAAAGTCCAAAGAGACGTCGCAAGTCTCTTTTTTTAGTTCGATGCCGAGGTCAGGGTCATCAACCGAATCTCCAAAATTTATGCTTATCCTTCTAAAAAAAAAAAAAAAAAAAATTTTTTTGCTCCGCGCACGAATACGAAATTTTGATTCTTCAATTTTTTTTTATTTAACTTTTTCAAATTCTTAACGAGATTCATCATTTTGCATTAACATAACCTCTAAAGTTATTACAATTGGAGTTTTTTTAGTTTTTAAAACCAAATAGAATAATCATATTTGATCCTTTTTGTGAATTTTTATAGTAAAGTATCAAAAACATAACCTATCATTTTTTTAACATAGTAAAAATATTATAAACATAAACTGTAATTGCTCCAAACTATCATAAACATAACCTACAACTTTTTTCTCTAATCTATCATAAACATAACCTGTAATTTGTTTGTCTCAATAACATAACCAACAAATTTTTTTATAAGGAAGGTAAAACTATCAGAAACATAACCTATAATTTTTCTCTCGAAACTATCTTAAACATAACGTACAACTTTTTGCTTCAAACTATCATAAACATAACCTATAATTTTTTATTCGAAAGTATGATAAACATAACCTCCAGTTTTTCAAATTCAAAATAATACTATCAAAAACATAACCTCTAATTTTTTTATGTCTCATTTTCACAGCAAGTTAAACTTAATTTTGAGGGAGAAAAAGATTCAATACCTAAGAATGAATAAATTTTAGGTTATGTTTATGATAGTATTATTTAAATATAAAAAATTGGAGGTTATATTTATTATTCTTAAGAGCAAAAAAATTGAAGATTATGTTTATGATAGTTGGGATCAAGAAAAATTTTAGGTTATGCTTATGTTAGTTCGGAAGACAAAATTATAGGTTATGTTTATGATAGTGTCAAACTCTTATAAACAGAACCCTATGACTGTTTAATCAAATAAAACCATCATAAACATAACCTATAATTGTATTATTCATCATTAATATTAAACACCCTTTTTTTGTTGTTGTTATTATTATTATTATTCATCATTAATATAAAACAACCTTTGTTTTGCTAACCACTTCACTTTTTTGAATTATTTTCTTACGTGTCCACTGTCGCATCTGAAACAAAAAAAAAATCAAAATACAAAACGAATTATTTAACAAAAAAACGAAATTAAAATTAATATTAAAAATTAATTATAAAATTGAAATTAATTACAGTTTTTATTTAAAAATAAATTTTCAATTTTGAGGTTATGTTAACGAACAAATAAAAAAAAGGAAATTTAATTTTTTTTTACTTAAAAAAAAAGAAAAATATATAGATACACTAATGATTAAGACACTGAATTGAAAACGATAGACATGCAGTCCCCAAGAAAATTGAAAAAAAAAAAATTAAATTTATTCAAGATTCACGGACGAATAAGTCGAATAAACATTGAAGCGTCTAATGCAACGAACAACGCAGCATAAGACTTAACGTGTCTAACATATTATATATATATATATATATATATATATATATATATATATATATATATATATATATATATATAGTATATACATATATATATTTTGATCAAGTCGAACGCGTCGGGAAAATTCATAAATAATTGATCTTGAAATGGGATTTTGTCCCTGAGACTATCCATTCATTTATTGTTTTTATATACTCTCACTGATTCCAATACGGATAGATCACCATAAATTCTATATCCTACGGAAACTTGCATACATTTTAATACCATTTTCACTTCCTGTGAAAGAATAGCATCTTCCAACATTTTCCATTTTTTATTTCAAAAAATTTAATTTAAAAAAAAAATTTTTTATTATTTATCGAATTTTTTATTATTTATTTAAAAAAAAAAAATTTTTGTTCTTAATTTATTTTTTTTATTATAGGTTGTTTATGATACTTTTTCTTTATTTATGAGAAATTATAGGTTATGTTTATGATACTTTTTTGTTAATTATGAGAAATTATAGGTTATGTTTATGTTACTTTTTCTTTAATTATGAGAAATTATAGGTTATGTTTATGATAGTTTAAAGTGAAAATAGAAAAAAAGAAACAAAATTCAAATTTTTGTTACAGGGAACATAAAATTTTTTTTTGATTTTAATTAAAATAAAAAACTTTTCATCGAGATAAAACTATCATAAACATAACCTAAAATTTGTTCTTACTTCTAAGGTCCCTTTCTTCAAGGAAGCGTTATTACGTATATTGATTTATTTATCAATTTCCTATACTGAAAAAAGGAACTTAGATGCAAAAAAAAATTATAGGTTATGTTTATGATAGTTTTACCTTACGATTAACAAATTTTAAGTTATATTTACGATATAGTTTAGAGTGTGAATATACACACCAAAAGAATCAAAATAAAAACTGATTTTGAATTTACATAATTAAAAATTAACTTTTAATCAAGTTATATAATTCAATCATAAACATAACCTATAAGTTTTTTTTGCTTTTTAGTTCCAGTTTCTTTAGAGGGCTTTATCGACTTTACATTTAATCAAATCAGGAAAATCGTAAAATTTTAGAATATAAAATTTGTAGAAACTATAATAAATATAATAATAATAATATAATAGCAATAATAATAATAATATAATAACAATAATAATAATAATAAAAATAATAATTATCATAATTAATTGAAGAAAATAATGTATGTTTATAAAAAAAAAAAAAAATTTATAATTATAATTATTTATCATATATAGAATTAATAATGTCCCATTTTTTTTTTACACACAGATCCTTTTTCTCAATAATTTATTCCTAATTGCCGTGTTCTTTATCTCTTTAGTTCCACAATGTAGTATTTCAGGTATAGTGTATAGAACTGAATGAATGAAAGAATTCTATTCCTCGGAATATATTATCATTTCCCATTTATTAGCTATTCTAATATATTCATTTCCCTTCGTTTTTCGTGTATTCATTTACATATTTACGGTTTTTTTTTTGTTCTTAACTAAACTGATAAAGAAAAATCAATTTTTTACTTTCGATTTACAACAGAACATTTTTTTTTCTTTTTTTTAACAACTCAAGGACGACAGACAATTAATGTTTAA